CAGAGTGGACCACGGGGAGCCCCACGAGGTAATATTTTGTGGTGGTGATCCTAGCTCCCAAGTGGAGCTTCTGTTCTGGCCTTGGAAGAGCTGTTCATAGTCTGCATGTAGGTTACATGTTAGGAATACATTTATCTTTTCCAGACTTGTTGCTAGGGATTAAATGAAATGCTCTGTTTCTAAAAAATATAATCTTGAATCCAAATTTTAATTTTTGAATGACTTTCCCTGTTAATATATAAAATTGTCTTGAAAATGAGAACAATTTCTCTTCCTCAGAAAAAGTGTTTTTCCAACTGGAAATTATTTTTCAGGTCCTAAAACCTGCTAAATGTTTTTAGGAAGTACTTATTAAGACATTTTTGTAAGACATTTTTGGAATGAGATTGAACATTTATATAAATTTATTATTCCTCTTTCATTTTTGAAACATGCATATTATATTTTAGGACCAGAACCCCTTTAATGGCCAAATAAGCCATAGTTACATTTAGAGAACCATTTAGAAATGGTAGAACTAATGAAAATTTGAATACCTTTTAGACCACTGTTAATGATCAAAATATCAAGTTATTTCCAACTTTAAAATGGAACCCCCAAATTCTTATTAACATAACTAAACTGTACTTAAAAATTAGGTTTTCAGAGTTTTTTCTGTTTTGTCTTTTACTATTGGAAAACTACTTCCTATTTGGGCAGGAAGATCACCTATTTCACAGTTAGATCTAGCATTTCATGTAATCTGAAGTTCTAAATGGTTCTCTTGTTTGAGGAACGTTAAACAACAAGTAAGTTTCCTCTAGCTATTGGCCATAACATGTATAAAATGTATATTAAAGAGGAATTACAAAGTACTTTGATTTGAATGCTATAGCAATCGGCCAGCAAAAAGGTGCATTTTTTTTTAAGTTAATGGATCACTCCGGAATTACTGACTTGACTAGAAGTATCAAAGATTATTTGCATGTGAATGTGGGTCATGTTCTTTCCCACTTTGTAGCATATTCTATGAAAGTTGAGTTAATTGATAGCCAAAAATTGTTTTAACAGCATGTAAAAAGTTATTTTATCTGTTACAAGTCATTATACAATTTTGAATGTTATGTAGTTTCTTTTTAACAGTTTAGGTAATAAGGTCTGTTTTCATTCTGGTGCTTTTATTAATTTTGATAGTATGATGTTACTACTGAAATGTAAGCTAGAGTGTACACTAGAATGTGAGCTCCATGAGAGCAGGTACCTTGTCTGTCTTCACTGCTGTATCTATTCCCAACGCCTGATGACAGTGCCTGGCACATAGTAGGCACTCAATAAATACTTGTTGAATGAATGAATGAATGAGTACTGGTGGAATACTCCATTAGCTTTACCCTTCCTTTAGCTAGAGAACATTAGCAAATTTGCGCATGACAACTTCCAAGAGGTGAAACTTGAACGCAGAAGAATTGACCTCTTAAACCTAATAATGTGGTGACAAGCTGCCCACATGCTTCTTGACTTCAGATGAAAATCTGCTTGAAGGCAAAACAAATAATATTTGAAAGAAAAATCAAATGCCATTTTTGTCTTCTAGGTCGTGGAGGGCCCCCAAGACCCAACAGAGGGATGCCGCAAATGAACACTCAGCAAGTGAATTAATCTGATTCACAGGATTATGTTTAATCGCCAAAAACACACTGGCCAGTGTACCATAATATGTTACCAGAAGAGTTATTATCTATTTGTTCTCCCTTTCAGGAAACTTATTGTAAAGGGACTGTTTTCATCCCATAAAGACAGGACTACAATTGTCAGCTTTATATTATCTGGATATGGAAGGAAACTATTTTTACTCTGCATGTTCTGTCCTAAGCGTCATCTTGAGCCTTGCACATGATACTCAGATTCCTCACCCTTGCTTAGGAGTAAAACATAATATACTTTACGGGGTGATAATATCTCCATAGTTATTTGGGTGATAATATCTCCATAGTTATTTGAAGTGACTTGAAGAAAGAAAGAAAACAAGTATGACTTTTTGACATTGGATAAAAGCTACAAATCGGCCCCAGAGTTATTTAATTCAATGGTAATTGACAAAACAAAAATATTTTCCTTGAAAGGAAGATGGAAGGAGTGGAGTGTGGTTTGAGAGAACAACTGCATTTCACAACTTTTTCCAGTTAAATTGGAGCACGGAACGTTAGATGCATACCAAATTATGCATGGGTCCTTAGTCACACATGTAAGGGTGGCTACCAGCTTTGACATAGCACTCTTCATCCGGCCAAACAACTGTGATTAAAAACACATGTAAACTGCTTTTTTAACAGCTGATACTGTATTAAGAAAAAGCCAACCTGCAAATCAGGCTTTGATTGGCACTTTTTGAAAAATATGCAACAAATATGGGATATAATCTGGATAAGCTGCTTCTGTACTTAATGTGAAGTATTTAGATACCTTTTGAACACTTAACAACTTCTTTGAGACAATGACTTTTATAAGGATTGGTAGTATATATCATTCCTTATGACATGCACATTGTCATCACTAATCCCTGGATCTTGTATCGTTACCTGAATTGGTACAGGTACTATGAAAATCTAGTGGATAATAGTAACACTCTTGGTCACATGTTTTTCCTGCAGCTTGAAAGTTTTTAAAAGAAAAGGATATCAAATGCCTGCTGCTACCACCCTTTTAAAATTGCTATCTTTTGAAAAGCACCAGTATGTGTTTTAGATTGATTTCCCTGTTTAGGGAAATGACAGACAGTAGCTTCAGCTCTGATGGTATAAGCAAAACAAATAAAAACATGTTTATAAAAGTTGTATCTTGAAACACTGGTGTTCACAGCTAGCAGCTTATGTGATTCACCCCATGTATTGTTAGTGCATTTTATGGTTATCTCCAGCAGCTGTTTCTGTAGTACTTGCATTTATCTTTTGTCTAATTTAATTCTAATTGAATTCCCCTTTCTTGGAGGCATTCATGTTCAAAGTGGTGATTTGATTCCTTAGATGCATAGGGAAGAGCCTCAAGTTTGATGGAGATGGTGGACAGTTTAGTAGTGAATTAGCCATATGTACTACATTGAATTTGTGCTAGCAGTTTGAGCACTAGTTCTATGTGCCTATGAACCTAATGCTGCTTGTTGTCCCATTCCACCTTGACTTCATGGAGAATTAATCCCACCTATTAAGCAAAGGCTACTAAGTTAATGATATTCTCTGTGCAGAAATTAAAATTTTATTTTTTAGCCTTTAAAGAATTTTTCCAGTAGGTACTTGGCTCCTTAAAAATGAAAATTATTCTCAAAACATTCATCATGAGACAACTGGAGTTTTTGCTGGTTTTGTAACCTAAAATGGATAGGCTGTTGAACATTCCACATACACAAGTTTTGTAGGGTGGTGGGTAATGGGGGAATCTTCAATGTTTATTTTAAAATAAATAAAATAAGTTCTTGACTTTTCTCATGTGTGGTTGTGGTACATCATATTGGAAGGGTTATCTGTTTACTTTTGCAAATGAGTATTTCTTTTGCTAGCACCTCCCCTTGTGTGCTTTAAATGACATCTGCCTGGGATGTACCACAACCATATGTTAGTTGTCCTTTAGGGGGATGGGTAAAATTTTCATGGTTCAATGGCTAATCCCTAGATGATGTGTGCTTGCAATCCTATGAAAAACTAAATTTGCTATCTATAGAAAATAATTTTGTGACATTTAAAAATCAAAGTAAATTTGGTGATCAATTAGTATTCAGTGATCAATTAGTATGAATCAGTTCAGAGATGGGAGAAATGCCTTCTAGGTTTCAAATTTCTATGCATTAGTGCAGATGTGAATGTGTAAAGGTATTCATAGTTTGGTAACATGTATTTTTAAAAAGAACTGTTTGTTCATTTCAAAATATTATAATATGGGGGTGGTGTTCTGTTATCACATTTTAAATGTAAACCTTTCATTTATTAATTCAGACCACATTTTTTAAAGGAATGCCTGATAGGGCAGAGAACTTTTAAAAAATCTCATCAGGATCTGAATCTTGGTACTCAGTATTCTGTATAATATGTGAATGCTTGTCTTAGCTGCAGAAGGCCTTCTATTTGCTCAAGTGAGTATTTTAGCAGTTAAAAGGAAGTGGTTACTATATAGTATCTTGGTATAGCAAGAACACATATAAAATACTTTTGTACGTGCACAATTTTAGTCATTCACAAGGATAATGAAACTTTTTTCAGAGTTTCACTAAAGGTAGAATGTCATTGATGACCTAAACTGATTAGCACAGTTTTATTTCCAGATCCTAATATTCATAAAGAAGATGGGAGAGATTTCTGATCATTGTATCTTGATATTAAAACAAGTGACTTCTCAGTGTTTTTTAATTAACTTTTAACAATTATTTTGTTTCCCTATACATACAACTTTGTTGTGTGGGAGACTTTCCATTTAAACACGAGACATGAAAATGTGTGCTTATTGTCAGGTTTACTGAGGTGCTCAGTTGACAACCAGTTCATTTTTGTAGAAGGTTATTGAGCAAGTGAGCTTTCTAAGTGTTTTAGGAAATTTATTATACTGTTCATTGTATTTTCAGTGATGTATTTAGTTAGAAGAAATGAAATGCAGATAAGCACTGAATTCGTACCCTTCTTTTCAGCCTTAAGCTCCCAGATCTGCAATCCATTGGAGTTCTTTCTAAGCACAGTTTTATTGACTTTAAATTTAGTTCAAAGAATCAATAATTGCCCCGACTTGTCCCTTTTATAAGAAGTAAATGGGGCGAAGAAACTCCTAGGAAAATTAAAAATAAATTGTTAAGATTTATTTCTCTGTCCTTTCCAAACTCCCAGGAAAATAAAGATAAATTGAGCCTCACCTCTTTTTCCCATTTTGAGTTCTATTAAGTTACTGGAAAAGACTAGTAAATGTTTTTAATCACATTAGATTAAATTATACGAAAACTTGTTTCCTCTTGTCTTTGAACAAAGTCTGCTCAGTTGTATGTACCATTTAGCAAAGCTTTAAATGAAGACATATTTGCGAAAGAAGAAAAGGCTTAAATCTGTCTGGTAGTCTCATCTTCTAAGAAGGCGAGACCACTACTTTTCTATTACTACCCTAGTTTAACAAGGTGTTCTGAGGCTTAATCTCACTTTGATGCAGCAGTCTGGCTCTTTGAGTATTTCAGAAGTTTATGTCTGGTCTACTGAAAGCATTTTTTAAAGTATTTTTAAAAAAATACTTAGTTATAGGTGGACCCAATATCTTTATTTTTTTATGTGGTGCAGAGGATCGAACCCATTACCTTACGCGTGCTAAACAAGAGCTCTACCTCTGAGCCACAACCCCAGCCCTAAGGTATTTCTTAAAATTTGTGTTTACATTCCTGTAAGCATTTAGGTACTTAACCACTAGGCTCCATTTTGAATTCTATTAAGCATTAGCCATTCAGTAAGAAGAATCACTGTGGTCCCAGCTTCCATTATAAAACAAGAAATGTGACTATAGCAACATAGTGGGTGATAGATATTAAGGCCATGACTCCTGCGTGGCCTAGTTAAGATACATTGGAGGATAATCAATCTAAGGCTTGAAGGATGAGAAGTGGTAAACTAGATCAGGCAAAGAAGCACATCCAAAGATCCAGTCTACACTGACTAAGAATCCTTGACTGGATGAATTGCAAAGGGTAATGGTTAATAGAGGTTGGAAACACCAGTAAGTACTATTAAGAGCAGCTTTACAATTAATGATTCATGTTAAATTTACCTCTTATGAAGAGATGGAAGCCACTGAAGGTTTAAAAGCTTATTTTTCAGGGTGGGGATAGTGGGTCACCCAATAGAATTGCTGTTCGGGCATTCATTGCACTATTGAGGACAAAATAATGTGGGCCAGGAGAAATAATGTAGGTAGTACATGCTGAAGTAGCTTTCTACTATGTAACATAAGGTGTGAACTGCTAGTAAATGGATGCTATAGATTGGCCACTGCCTGGCATCTTTCTGATTTTCTCCAGTCCTTGGTTGTCTGACTTCATCTATAGCTAATACTCTTCACCAAGTGTTATCTTGTCTCATCCAATCCCACGATTTTGAATAAGTGTTTCAGTTAAAAGTATTTGCAGTTCCTAAACTCCATCGTAACTGAATGTCTTGATTTTGAGTGTTTCTGGTCTTTCAGATTGACCTTTATTGATTGCCACTCACTGGCTGCTTTCAATTTATGGAACTGTTCAGAGCAGTTATTTTGGGAACCATCTTTTTCTTTGACGCCCTGTATCTGATCCTTAAATTTCTGTTTCTACTGGGAAGTATCCCGAGTCCCCTAATACTGCCATTCTGGAACAGTAATAGCTTATGTTCCTTCTCTGTTTTTAGCCCACCTGTGATTATTATCATTTTTGTACAGCGGACTGAACCTTTCTAGAGGGCAAATCACTTCCTTTTCACGACCCTGTCCCCCCAGGTGAGGTGGTTTTCTAGCAAATAGAATTGGATTCTAAATCTGGTCCACATTATGTTGGGCTGCTTGCCTACCATGTTTCACTTGCTTGCAATCTTTTGCTAAGAGTTTTTATCTCCTTGGAGCCTTTACATTTTTTGGTGTGGGAAGGCTATTCGCTAACATTCTTAAAGCTCACTGTAGATTAAAGTCTTTTTTTCCCCGTACTACCTCAAAAACAGTACCCTTACTGTATACTTGAACATTTAGAATTTACCTTAAAGGGGCAGGGTCATTATGAACTAATCCCCTGTGAACAGAAGCATCTAGCATATTGACATTTTTGTTGAATCCATAAAATTGTAATGATGGGTATCGGACAAATGCCCGTTGTAGTATGGCTGGTCACATTAAAATCTGAAATACCTGTTTGAGAAAGGAACTTCAAGAGTAAGAATTCGGTTTCTGACTAGTTATGTTAAGGGATCTGTCCCTCTTCCTCCGCAAAATAATGAATACAGAATTATGTGTGGGTAGTCACGTTCTTGCACTGGGAGCTGGAGGGGACATTGAAGAGCAGAAATCTAGGATTAGTATTAGAAAACAGGTCTAAGGGGACCCTGCAAAGATCGGAAATCGGGTGGAAAATGTGCATAACTCCACAGACAGGTTCACGAGATCAGTACCACAAGAGTTGAGGGTCTAGTGAGATGAATAAAAAGATCGGTGGTCTGAGCTTCCTCATCGTATCACATCAAAGGCAAGTACTTTAAATACTTGCACATCCCTGGAGGCACCGACTTTCGCATAACGAGGCCAACACTGAAAACCTGAACACCGTGTGCTGCACCTGGCCTGTGGAGACACCTGCTGCTAACCCCCTACACTGCGGCAGGCACTGGTGGTGTGGACATGAACGTTTGTCTTGCGTTGCGTAGACAAATGCACTTCGGGTCAGCAAACAAATAATTTCGCTTCGGGTCAGCTTCTGCCACCGAAAACTTCCGCAGCGCAGTCGCGGTGGGGAGTCCTGGGGTAGCTCCGCCTCCGCGGCCTCTGACGCCATCATTCGTCGACCGCGTTGAGAAAGGTCCCTTCCCCGTCCCCGAGTCTGGTGTGCTCGTGCACTCTTTACCTGCCAGCGTCTGGGCGGAACACGCGGCGGAGTGCGGCCAACTCCGCTGACGGCCAGGAACTCGCTAGGGGCAGCCTACAGCATCCTGCCCTTCTGGAGTTGTTCCGTTTCCCCACGTGCTTCCGCTTCGCGCTGGGATCCCGGCGCAGGTACGTGCCGCGGGGCGTGCGGGGCGGCTGGAGATTCCCGCTAAGGTGGGCGTTCGTGTGGTTCCTGGGTCAGAAGCGGACTGGCCAGAGGAGGAAGCTTGTGCGTCTAGGCTGACGCGTGGTCCGCCCCCACGGCCCCCTCGCTAGGACGCTCCTACAGGGCAAATTCCCCTTCTGCGAGACGCAGCATCTTGGGCTTGCTTCCCTGCGCTCTCGTGGTTTGCGTGGAGTAGTCTCCGCCATCCAGGGACCTCTAACTAGGGCCTAGTGGAGAATGGGTGGGTGACAGCACTTGGCTCTTGCTGTTCTTGCTTGTAGTCTAGGCTTTGAACCGAAGCTCTCTGATCCAGGATTCTCCAGGGCTCGTGAGTATTTAACTATGCGCACACACACATTCATACTCCTTGTTTGGTAGTCGTATTTAGGACTTTATATTATTTGACAGTACAGCTAATGATGCCTGGCACGTAGTCATTATGTGTAGATAGACGAACAAATGAGTGAATGAAAAAATAAATCTTTACGTGTCGTCAAGGCCCTCTTCATCTATTACGCCTTCCGTGACAACTCCATCCACAGTAATATCAGACCTTCGTCAGACCCCTTATTGTAGCTGCTATTTGCACGTCTAATTTATATATATACAATTGTCCTTTATGTTTTTTCTTTTTAATATCCCCTTTAGAGAGAATGAAAGTTTGAAATCAAGGACTTTGTCTGGTACCTCTGGGGCTCCCATAGTAACTGGAACAAAAAGCAATCTCTAATAGTTCCTTTTTTTTGATGGAGTCTTCATGTGGCTAGAAATATATGGCCTACAAGCTGAGTAGATTGGCAGACTGGAAAGAGCTCAGGCTTTGGAGTCAGATTTAAGTGTGAATCCTATCCTATCACTTTTCTGCTTTGGGATACTTGAATTTTTTTTTTTTTTTAAATAATAGTTGTCTCTTTACTTATAAATAGGGACCCCTGATTTTGATAGTGTTTAATAATAAGACATGCTTGGAAATGTCAAAAGGGACAGTTAAAGCACAGTTAAGGTTCCATTAATAGCTTTATTAAAGCTTAGAATTAAGCAAATACTGGAGATTCTTGGTAGTGTGTATTTTATGTTGTAGTGGTGTAATTGATATATCTGATATTTGATGTATTTATTATGGTAATGATGCAGCATTTTATCATGGGCAATCACATAACAGCTGTGTGTGTGTGTGTTGTGTGTGTGTGGCTGGCAATGAACCCAGGGCCTCAAGTATTCTGGCCATTCCTCCTACCACTGAGCTATATTGAGGTCTGTCTTTACAAAAGCTTCAATATGGTTTTCCCTCACTTGAAGAAACTTGTTTTTGACCTGACAGAATTCCAATCAGTTGATTTCTTTTCCTTAACTTTATGGGTAACATATTTAAAATCAATCAATAAATCAGTCAGCCCATTCAGAAAAAAACTACATTGCATCTTGGCCTTTCTTTTTTAACCTCTCTATGTTAATGGTATCATACCTACTAGGACATTCTCTCATAAGCATCTATATCCATATCTTGAGGTAGTTTGGAAAATGCCTTTGATATATGGCTATATCACTATGTATTTTGTATTCCTAATTTTTTGAACATTCAAGTCCTGATTTTTCTTAAGCTCCCTGGAAGAGTTATGAGGTTTGCCTCCCTGCCGACTTCCTATGCTGAGGGAATAATTTCTTTACTCCCAAGCCTGAGTTTCCTGATTTTAAAAGCAGGCTGATGTCTTTCCTATGGAGGATCAAAATGTTACATTAAAGGTGGCTGGCGCAACCCCTTGCCCCAGAAGAGGCAGCCAACTAGTGCTCCTTACCCATAATCTGCTATTTTGTCCAGTTGTATTTCCTTTCTTTCTCTTTTAGTGATAGTTTTTCACCATGCATCGGAAGAAGGTGGATAATCGAATCCGGATTCTCATTGAGAATGGAGTAGCTGAGCGACAAAGGTCTCTCTTTGTTGTAGTTGGGGATCATGGAAAAGATCAGGTAAGACCTGGTAAATACTCTCTGAGTTATCTTGTGTCCTGTCCCAGAGTCAGTATGTTACAACAGGCCCTCTGGGGTTTTAACATGTCAAGGCATTACGATCCCTTTGACTGCTAAGGTGCCTAGTAAGAACCTTTCTTTCATTTCTTAATCGTGATAAATTCTCTCTACTTTGATTTATTAGCAGACAAGCCAAAAGTCTTTGATGCTCAGGGTGGTATACTGACCATTAGGCTCAGTGTATGTGACCTAGTTTCTATTCCCCATCTGTTCTCTACTTGCCTGTGATCTTGGATGCCTCCCTCCCCTGGCTGTCAGTTTAATTTCTAATCTGTCAAATGAGGACTTGGGCCTAGTGGTCTCTGTGGTCTCCTTGGTCCCTGAGGTTCTGACTTTTTTCTTTGGCAGGTGGTAATCCTCCATCACATGTTGTCCAAAGCAACTGTGAAGGCTCGGCCTTCAGTGCTGTGGTGCTATAAGAAAGAATTGGGGTTTAGCAGGTAAGCTTGGCCCTTAGATGACCCAGTCCTCTTATTTTAAAAGTAAGCTGATGTCTTTTCCTGTGGGGGATTAAGATGATACTTTAAAGGTGCCTAGCACAACCCCTTAATTAACAATTCCTGCTAGTTAAAAGCCAGGAAACAATTCCTTGACACAGATTATCACAATCTTTAGTGGAGATGACATTTCAGAGGATATTTCTAAGTGGGGAAAAAAATGGAGCAGATGTCCTTTCTTCATTCCCAACAATAAATTTCAAATAATTTTCATACTCTTTGAGGTGTACCCAGCCCAGTGCCTTGTTTTAAGGTTCTCTTCCTGTTTTTCTGAGCTGATCAAGCCCATCTAATGCAAATTCCTTTAGTAGCCTTTCACTCTCCTTTTTTTCCTTTGCAAAGAGGGGATTTTCCTCATCCTGTGTCCAAGGAAAACTCTAGGTCTCCTCTCTTTTTTTCAGGACCTTTACTGGTTTTCTTCTGTTGGTCACTGCACATCCTTTTGAATTTTCTTCTTTTTCCTGTAAACATGCTCAGTTTTCCTCATGCTCAGAAAATGATTAGCTTCATACCTAGCTCTGTCCTTAGGCTAGCATTTGCCTTCAATTTTACTGACACACACCTTAAAACGAGCCTCATTTACTCCCTACCTATGTTCTTTGTGGTCTCGCTTCTGAAATGTACTTGTAGACATCCCCTGAGACCTGAGGCCTAGCACAGCAATTTTTCTTCCCTTTTTCTCCTTTTCAGAGCTCTTCTACCACTTCTCTGCTATATGGTAACAGTTAATTGCTGAAGTCTCAATAGCCCAGACTTTTAGCTGTAAACACCAGACCTCCACACAAACACTCTTAAGCACCAGGGGGAAAATGTTGAAGTATCTGGGATAGTTCATGGAGCCTAAGAGGCTACCATTTCTACTCTGCTCAGGGGTGGTCTGGAGCCAGATTGCCCTTGCTTCCCATCCTTTCTATCTCTGCTGCTTTCTCTGTGCTTTTTCATTGCAGACCAGCTTTCTGTTTTCTCCTGTCTCTTGGTAGAAACAGAACTTGATTTTTATGTGTTTCAGGTCTAACCATGTGGAAATCAGACTTTATCCCAAAATTCTTATAGAAAGATGCTTACAAGGTGGGGCATTACACAATGATGGGGGTTGGTCACATTAGTGGAAACCTTGCAGTTCTCCTTACAACTCAGCCTGGATGAGTTTGGGGTGGAGTAGGGAGTACTGTTTCTTGGCAGAGAACCCATACTGTGGTCACCTTAGAAGTATTTCCTTTTTTTTGGTCTTTGTGCTTACTTGGGCCACCTTCCTGAGCTCTTCCCTTGCCTATCATGATATCTCCTACCGTAAACCTAGCCAGCATCTATGGTTCTGTCCTTGGGTGTCTTCTCACTCCTTCACCCCCAAGTATGCTGTCTTTGATGTTGACTCTCAGACTCTGTCTTTGCCTCTGGCTACTTCATGCTACATCAAACCTCCCTGCTCTTAGCTCATGCCATCTTCTCTGCCTGGTATGCTACTATACCTCTCTGTTATCACCTACTGACATCCTCCCCAGTTTTCAGCACCTGCCTCTTTGATGAAGCCTTTCTGAGTTCCTCAGTCATACTTGATGGTTCCTCTTGTCTTCAGTGCTTGTCCTCATCTTAAATGCTTGTTACCTACCAACTGTGTTGGAATACAGTTCCTTCTATACTGTGACTTAGGGTATTTTTTTTTTTTTTTTTTTACTTCCAAGTGATAAGGTTATTAATCTAGGAGTCTTCTTTTATTTATCTTTATATTTTTTTACTTTTACATTATCTAGCATGTTTGTGGTGGGCATGCAGTTAATATTTGTTGAGTTGGATTTATTATTAACAGGTTCTGAAATTATTTAATTTAAAAAAACTTGAGCTAGGTGTAGTGGTACATGCCTGCTCAAGAGTCTCAGGAGGCAGAGGCAGGAGGATCAAAAGTTCAAGACCAACTTCAGCAATTTAGTGAGAACCTGTCTCAAAGTGAAAAATAATAAAGGGGTGGGGACGTAGCTCAGTAGTTGAGCATCCCTAGGTTCAATCCCCAATATTACACACACACATAAAAAGAAGCTTGCTTCTGCCTAAGAGAAATCAGATTTTGAGTAAATAACTCAACCTTTTTAAAGTTATGAAAGTCTTATTATAAGAAATATCAGCCAGCTCAGGAAGCTGAGGCAGGAGGATTGTGAGTTCAAAGCCAGCCTCAGCAACTTAGCAAGGCCTAAGCAGCTCAGCGAGACCCTGTCTCTAAATAAAATGTAAAAAAGGGCTGGGATGTGGATCAGTGGTAAAGTACCCCGGGGTTCAATCCTGGTATTAAGTAAAAGAAAAAAAAAGTAAACAAAATACAAAAATGCAAAAATACAGAAAAAAGTACAAAAGTGCAGAAAAAGATAAGCCAGGCATGATGGTGCAAACTTACATATAAAACCAGCTATTCTGGTGGCTGAGGCAGCAGGATTACAATTTTAAGGTCAGTCTGTGCAAGATTGTGAGACCCTGTCTCAAAAAAGAAACGACAGGGGATGTAGCTCAGTGGTAGAGCACTCCTGAATTCAATATCCTGTTCTGAAAAACAAACAAAACCAAAAAATGAAAATAAAAAGTACTCATAATCTTACCACATGGGCCTTGTTAACATTTAGGTGTCTATCACTGGTATATAGTTATAAACCATGATTTGTATTTAGTTGTGCATAATTGTTCATGTAAGCATGTCATTACCACTGAGCTAAGTCCCTGGCCCCAAGCATTTTTAATATAGGTTAAGAATAAGAATAAATCCTGTTGCCTTTTTTTTTTTTTCAGTACTGGAGATTGAACTCAGGGCCTTGTACCTGCTGGGCAAGTGCTGTACCACTGAACTTCATCCCTAGCCTCTGTTGCATATCTTTGAATTTTGTTTTGAGGGCTTCTGATTTGTAGTATTTTTTATTTGGTAAATGTGAGATTGATGTGGAATCATGCAGTTCACAGTGTTTTGGGAAGATATGTCTTTTAAATTTAACCCACCTGGTTAAATTATAAATCTGTGCCTCTTGTAGTCCCCCCCCCCCGCCTCCTTGTCTTGATCTGGCAGAATATCATGCCAAGTCATGAACCCCAGGCACACGCTATGAGGAGAGGTGGAGATCATCTCACCCAGCTGCCTCTGCTCATGGAGGAAGTGGAGGCCTGCGGTGGGAAGGGCTTTCATTTTAGCTGTAAATTCGAGAACTGGGGAAAATTTTTGAACAGTTATAAGCCATCATTCTGGAATGGGGAGTAAATCTTTCTGTAAAGGAAAGGTAAATCTCAATTGAATATTCAGGGCTTTTAAGACCAGAAACAGTTCAGGGATTTCTGAGCCATGTCCACCTTCCATTCTAATCCTTGTATCCTGTATCCTTATTGTTTTAGATGAGAGCTGCCCTTGAGGACATGATCCCATACTCTGGGCAAAGAAGTAGAGGAATTTATTTAGGAAACCTGAGTGCAGTAACCTGCCATTGTCTTGTCTCTCCCAGGCCTCTGGGGGGTAGGAGTGTAGTTGAAACTTTGGCTTGAAACTAAGATAGCAAGGCCATTTAGGTTTGGATTCAAGCTCTGGCCAAAGGCAAGGTTTAAGTGCTAGTTGTTTGTTTGTTTTTTTTTTTTTTTTAGAGAGAATTTTTAATATTTATTTTTTAGTTTTCGGCAGACACAACATCTTTGTATGTGGTGCTGAGGATCGAACCTGGGCGGCACGCATGCCAGGCAAGCGCGCTACCACTTGAGCCACATCCCCACCCCTTAAGTGCTAGTTTTTAAAGCAGAATAATTTGCTCAAGGTACAACAAAATAAGGGAATAGTTCACACACAGGCTGATCTGCGACTTAATCTTTCTGCTCCAGTGCCTCTTCATGTTGCTTCTCTAAAATGAAAGAGTCCAAGTTCCCTACTAGCTCTGGAGGGTAATCACCAAGTCTCTCCTCTGTTTCCATGTCCTTTACCTCTCTGGTTAATTGGCTCTTATGGGTTGGGGGGTGGCGATTGCAGTCACCGGAAGAAGAGAATGCGACAGCTGCAGAAGAAAATTAAGAATGGGACCTTGAACATAAAGCAGGATGACCCCTTTGAGCTCTTTGTAGCGGCCACAAACATTCGCTATTGCTACTACAATGAGACCCACAAGATCTTGGGCAATACCTTCGGCATGTGTGTCCTCCAGGTGAGTGACTTCCTCCAGCCTGTGTATTGCTTCCACACTGGTATATGATAAGAACAGGTTCTTACCCCCGATATACCAAGCATTATTAATGGAAGACTTGACCACTTTGCCAAGGAAACCAGAATTTTCTGCTTAAGTTAGCAGCTGTCTGGAGACCCCAGAACTTACAATGATGTGCCAGCTGGGTGATCCTAAATTAAAGCTAATAAAGCAAGCACAGGGAACTTTGACTGACCCTGGAACCTCAGATCCTTATGTGCACGCATGGAGACTTCCCCGACACATGAACATTGCAGCTTGTTTAACCAGCTGGATAGAAACATTTTCATCCACTTGTGTTGGCTCCTGAGTGCTTGGTAGCATAACCCCACATACCCTAAAATCCCTTGCTTTACCCTAGAAAGCTGCTTGGTGAATTTATCCACAAATATACATTCTCTTATCGGGAAAGTTAATAGACTTAGTTTCTCATGTTTCTTTCTTTTTATTTCTGGTGGGTAATTGTTTTAGTCTGTGAGTTTTAAAAAATCCACGACAACCCCTTTCTAAAAAAATTTTCATACACAAATTCATGTTTTTAAAAAAATACTTATTTTTTAGTTGTTGTTGAACACAATACATTTATTTTTATTTATTTATTTTTTTTGTGGTGCTGAGGATCGAACCCAGGTCCTCACACGTGATAGGTGAGTGTTCTACTGCTGAGCCACAACTCCAGCCCCAAATTCATGTTTTTGTACTTATTATGTTATGCACTTTGATCATGATTATGTTAATTATAAATCATATTTAAGAGAATATAAATTAAGGAATGGGGAAATCAAGAACAGAAGTTCTGTTTTCCTTGCATTTCAGTGGGTTGTTTAATACACTGCTTACTAGAAAAGAACCTCAGCCTCCTTTGTCTTTATCACTAATTTGTCAGGAGTGTTGTGCTCCCAGCCCTTACTTGGTGCTGGAATGAGGGCTTCTTTAAGCACTAGCTCCCCCGTGTGGTGCAGTTGAGTTTTGCCAAACAACTTCCATCTGTAGACGTGTTAGAAAATGTAAACATGTTTCTGAAATTTGACTATAAATCAAATGAAGTTTGGAAGACTTACCTCCAGACAGGATTTTATTAGAGATTATTAGAAACTCTATTTTTGTGTGTGTGGTGCTGGAGATTGAATTCATGGCCCTGTGCCTATGAGGCAAGCACTCTACCAACTGAGCTGAATCCCCAGCCCTAGAAACATTTTTAACATATAAAACCATGTCTTTCTAACCCTAAGGACCAGACTCTCTTCCATGGTGCCCCTAAGGGGTTGTGAGTGTGTTATGTGTTTCTTGGTGAGCCAGATGGGGGGGTATGGTCTTGGGTTTCTACCCGAAGCCCTGATTTTGGCTTATCACCTGGCCTTTGGTTAAGTATCTCTGGGGTGCTGTTTGCATTACCAACCCTCTAAGGTCTCCTTGTAGGATTTTGAAGCCTTAACTCCAAACTTGTTGGCCAGGACTGTAGAAACAGTGGAAGGTGGCGGACTGGTGGTTATCCTGCTCCGGACCATGAACTCACTCAAGCAGTTGTACACGATGACCATGGTAAGGGTCGGGGTTTTTTTATTTTTTTAACATAATGGTCGGTGTTCATATCAGTCTGATTTTGCTCTAGTCTGCTGTAAGATTTCCTGTTGAGAAGGTAGATAGCCTCTGGGAGCTCCTTGACAACAACTAATGAAAAGGTCACTGCGGCTGAATCTCAGGGGCTCTGAGTATGCCTAGAAATGTGAAATTCAGATATGATGCAGACTATATGTAACTAAATATTAAATATTTTAATATAATAATATGATAATAATAATTAAATATTCTTAATATAATAGTAATAATAAGCCAGATATGGTGATTTAATTCCAGTGACTTGGTGGGCAGGAGGATTGCGAGTTCAAGACTAGCCTCAGCAGTTTAGGGAGGCCCTAAACAACTTGGCAAGACCCTATCTCAAAATAAAAAAATAAAAAGGGCTGGAGGTGTGGCTTAGTGATCAATCCCTAGTACCAAAAAATATATATATATTTTTTTCCTAGAATAATATTCTGCTAGAACTTATTTGTGTTTTGCAACAAAGGGACAATTGGCAGAATTCTCTCTGGCCCTCATCTTCTATTAGTTAATGAAGCAACGTTTGCCAGCTTTGCTTTCAGTTTGGCAAGAATTTCAAATATGGGAGTGGTAGTTTACTTCCTAAACCATGACTGAGGACATGGTTCAGAGTGGGGTGTGTTTAAAACAGATGCAGAGCTGGTCTCCTGGCTGGTATTGCCACATTGGTGTTCTTAGAGGCAGTTTCTAAGAGCTGCCCATGACCCAGCAGCTCAGAAATGGTGTCAGGATTGGCCTCTGGGTTGAATGAGCTATGTTTTTCTGGTGAGATGGACTTTCCTCAAATCTTGAGGCTGCTTCCTGCCTTTATCACTCCTGCTGTCACTTGCCACTGTAGCCCCTCTTCACACGTGACCAGCACACATTCACCCCTGGGCTTTGCCCTTGCTATTTCCTCTGGCATGTGCTCTTTTGGATTTCATCATGACTCACATCCTTACTGCCTTCAAGTTCCTGTTCCAGTATCTCCCCATGAGTGTGATCTTTCTTCATATTGTTTAGAAGAGGTGGTTCCAGCTGTAACTCTTTAATCTTCTTTATTATTCTTCAAAGTACTTGACAACAACTTCTAGTTACATATTTGTTTTTTTTGTCTGTTCTCCTACATTAGTCACTAACTTGGTGGAAGCAGGAACTTAGTTGTTGTTTGTTTTTTTTTTTTTTTTTTTTTTTTTAGTTGCAGGTGGACACAATACCTTTATTTTATCTATGTGGTGCTGAAGATCGAACCCAGAGCCTCACACATGCGAGAGGAGCACTCTACCACTGAGTCCCAGCCCCAGTTTTTTTTTTTAAGTTGTAGGTGGATATGATACCTTTCTTTATTTAATGTGGTACTGAGAATTGAACCCAGGGCTGCCTCACACATGCTAGGCAAGCACTGTACCACTGAGCTACAACCCCAGCCCTAGGACGTAGTTTTTCTTATTGTTGTTTTTCTTACTGATATTTTCCCAAATCCTAGAAGAGTGCCTGGCATGTTGTAAGAACTCCCTAGATATTTGCACATGACTGAAAGACTTTGTGCCAATAACACTTTGTTTGTTCTTCCAGTTTCTCTTAACATGGCTGACTGCTTACCCTTCTAATCTCAGCTTATCATCTCTGAGAGACCCTCCCTTTCTGCCATATATAAACAGGTCCCTCTCGTTGTTATCCCCACACCCTGTATTTCATTTGTAGCATTTGCCAAAATGTGTATGTATTTACTCATTGTCCTCCAACCATTGGACTGTAAATCCCATGAGAGCAGAAGTCTTGCTTCTTTCATCAGTGTGTACCCAGAAGTCTGGTCCACCTAGTTAACAGGTATATTTTATTGAGTCAGGGTGCTGGATCAGATGTGGAAAATGTCAGAGATGAGGCGAAGGGAAGTTGATTGGGATTAGAAGCATTGCGTTTGGTGTCTGATCCCAGTTTTAGCAAAGAGCACTTGGCCAGTTCAGCAGAGCAGGTGGGAGTGGATTTTCTTTCCCACAGGGTTGCTCATGTCTCCTGTGATAGAACTTTGTATCTGAGCCCTGGGCTTCAGTGTTATTTAGATGACTTTGTTAATGGATGTTGTCTTGCTTTCTTAGGATGTGCATTCCAGGTTCAGGACTGAGGCCCACCAGGATGTCGTGGGACGATTTAATGAGAGGTAGGTCTTAAGGATATTTCTCAGTTCCTTCCACTTGTTGGGAAGCCAAGGTGGGAGAAATATTTTTATCTTGGACCCAACTGAAAGCTTTTGTGTCAGCAGAGGTAGTACAGGCTTCCAAAATGTGCAATTCTTCAGCAGCTGCAGCTGGGAAATGATCTGGGTACAGTGCAAGGGGGTGGAAAGCTGGTGTCTGTGGACACCTGGACTCAGTCTTTTTTTTTTAGAGAAAGAACTTTAATATTTATTTTTTTAGTTTTCGGTGGACACAACATCTTTGTTTGTATGTGGTGCTGAGGATTGAACCTGGGCCGCACGCATGCCAGGCGAGCGCGCTACACTGAGCCACATCCCCAGCCCCGTGGACTCAGTCTTGCTGCTGGCTCTGACCAACCCAGTGGCCTTAGCCACGTTCCTGTCCCTCTCTGGCTTTAGCCTACTCATCTTTGAGAGGTTGGGAGCGGTCTATCTGGATCACCATTTCCTGTATTTCACAGAATAGTTTTCTTTTAGAGGGACCTTGTGACAAGAAGACTTCTGGCCAGCTGAGTGGGACATGCTGACACTGTTTTTCCATTATGAAGAGTCTCACTTACCTATTCTAGCCTCAGAAAAGTCTTGCAACAGCTGGCACTTGTTTGATTGTTTCCCATTCCCAAATTAATTTCACCATTGAGCCTCCTTGTAGGGACCATCAGTTAACAGCCCGTGTTATACTTTGAGAAACTGGCCTAGATCAGTGTTCCCTTTGGGATTGTTGGCAATGTTGGGAGACATTTGGACTGTCTTGACTCTGGGGTGCTGAGGGAGAGAGCTACTGGCATCAGGTGATTGGAAACCAGGATGCTGCTTAAAAGAAATCATTTGGAAAAAATGTCTGTAGTGCTGAGGTTTAGAAATCCTGACCTTGATGAACCTGGGGCCTCTCTGATTTTAACATCCTGTCATGCTTTGGCTCAGTAGAATGAGGACAGGAGGAGTAGCTGCATGTTACTCTAACAGGACAGAAGCCTGTGGAAGTATCAGGAAAGGCCCTTTTCTTGAGGCATGGAGGATGTTTGAATTGTGTAGCAAGTTAATTTTTCTGTATATAGGGAATTCAGTGTTGTATTTCTTCAGGGAGCTTTCTTTTCTCCTTATTCATTTGTGTGTGTTGTTTCCATGTGTGTTTCCCTGTGTGACTGGTGGCCATATGGGGCTTTTGGAGTAGAGCCACATTAGTGCTAAAGGGCTCCAGATGATGAGAAAAGGACTAGAGGACCTAGCAAAAGCAATCATGGTTGTGCATCTGGGATCTTGGCTTTCTTGATTGCCACATAAAATGTGTTCAGGTGCCTTGTAGAGGAGGCTCTGATTGCTCTCTAGTTGGGTTCTGGCTTTCTGAGATATGGGGCCCAGTGATCTTCCTGAAGAAAAGCAACTTGTCCCCTCTTGTGCAGCATTGTCTGCCTCCTCAGCACCTCACCTCAGGACTGCTTTTGTCCCTCAGGTTTATCCTCTCTCTGGCATCTTGTAAGAAGTGCCTTGTCATCGATGACCAGCTCAACATCTTGCCCATCTCCTCCCACATGGCCAGCATCGAGGCCTTACCTCCACAGGCTCCGGTGAGTCTGGGTCCAGGGCTCAGGGATTTGGGGGAGCTGTGATTTCTGTGGTGACCCCACGTGGTAGTGGCAAACCTCTTCCTCTTTTCTCTGGTAGGATGAGAATCTCAGCCCTTCTGCTCTGGAGCTACAGGAGTTGAAAGAGAGCTTGCAGGACACCCAGCCTGTGGGTGTGTTGGTGGACTGCTGCAAGACCCTAGACCAGGTGAATGTGGGTTTAGAACTGCCCTATCCCAGGGTCAGCGATACAAGGATAAAACAGTGTGCAGAGAGCAGCCACGGCCCACTCAGGATGAGTCAAGACGAGAGACGCCTAGAAGGGCCTTTTTTTAGCTTGTTCCCAGGTGTGTCCCACAGCAACAGGGCTGTTCTTCATGTCTGGGTTTGCAAAGGAGCTAATTCAGGGAGCGGGGGTCATGGGAGATGGACAGATGAGATTTCCAGAAGAATCTTCTCAGTGCTTTTTCCATGATAGGGTATTTATAATAGCTAAAAACCTGGAAGTACACAGGATGTGTTTAATTTCAGCTGTGTTGGTGGTGTAAAGGTTTTGCTTATGGCTCCTGTAGAATTGAGGAGTGGGGAGCGTGAGGCCCCTTGTACTTACTTCATTCCAGTGTGAACCTGATGAGAGCCCCTGGGGTTGCATGAACAGCAGGCTGGGTGGGAACTACCAGGATGCATTTCTTTGCTCTCTGGCGTAGCCAGCACTAGTAAACTCAGCTTCTCCAGTGTCTTTCTGCCAGCTGGGCACACCCCAGAGGACTTCAGGCTGCCAGGTGTGTTCAGGATTCTGGTCCAGCCTGAGCCAGATGAGTGGCACAGGCCTCTTAGCATTTGGCTTTGCCTTCAGAATGGAAAGCAGCTTCAGTGACCCCGCCCACTGGGGTCTGAGTCCCAAGAGGCTGGTTTTCCTAGTCATCCTGGAAATATAATCACTAGCTCCAAAGCTCTGTATGTAGCCCAGGCTGTAGGCTCTAGGCTGCTCTGAACCTTTTCTGGTACCTTCTGTATCACCAATCAGAGGGATGAGAGATAGGATAGAGGAAGGGAGAGAAATTACGATACTAGTAATAATGTTATAAAAAAGCAAATGGCCAAGCAACACAAATGACATTAGTATGAAAGCGAACACATTGAGAAAACGGTATTTCCACTTGGCAGTCCCACTCTGCAGAGAAGCTGCTGTTCAGGGTTTATCATGTGTTCTTTGACCTTTCCCTGGGCATGTCAATAGATATTTCACTGTATAGGGTGAGAGTGGCTTCTGGTAGACATTTGGGCTGGTTCCAGCTTTTTTTTTTTGCTATTATAAACAGTATTATCAGGATACATCTGTGGGCATTGTATCTAGGACATGCTTCTGAAAAAGAAATTGCTGGTTCAGGGGCTGTGGGCATTAGAGTGGGTGTCACACAGTTGACCAAGCTTCCGACAGTGTGCAGAAATGCCTTTTGCTCTGCAGCCCAGCCTGCACTGAGTGCAGCTAAACTTGTCAGTTTTCACCAGTCTCATGGGAACTTCTGATGGTTGCTTTAATTGTTACTGTTATTACGAGGGAGACGGGTGCTTTCTTCGTCTAATCATAGGTCACCTCTTTTTGAGGTGAACCAGTTTGCTTGTGACTGCCCATTTGTTAATTGGATTGTTGTCTTTTGTCTGTGTGTGTGGGTTTTTCATTTTAGAGTGTGTTTTTAGTCCAGTTAGGTTTAGTCAGCGTTCACAGCTTGCCTAAAGTAAAACAAAAGATACAGTATTTAGCAAGGGCCAGGTTAAGACAACTAGCATCTGGATCTCCATTGAGCATTGCCATCTGGAGAGACTCTGGCTTCCTGAAGCTGCTCCCTTCCACCTCGTCAGCCTCCTTTCTGGTCCTAGAGAACCCAAGCTGCACCTCCACCCCAGGCCTAAACATTTGTTGATCCCTCTGCTAAAGTACTCACCCTAAGAGAGACACAGGGCTACTTCCTCAACTACTTCCTCAACTTCCTGAAGCTGCTCCATTTCCTCTCTGTCTGTCTGTCCATCTATCTGCTCAGGCCTGCATCTCTTTAGTGTTTTCCTAGTTTGTTGCCTTAATGAGCGAGACTGCTTCCTAGAAGTGGACAGGCCAGGCTGACCATGCATCCAGCTTTGCAGCTGGGAATCCAAGTTTGCGGTAGTGTCACCTCTCTTCAGTGCCCCTGGCATCTTGTTTCCCTCTAGGTGCAAGGCCTTCCTAGATGCTGGGCTTAAGAGTTAATGAGGGACACCTGCTTCTTGGAGTGTGCCTTCTAATGGATGAGACGGGTGCTGCTTAAATGAAATTAGGAAATTATGGTGTAGTAGAAGCTGCTGCGTATAATGTAGAAAAAGAAAAGTGGCCAAGAGGGTGGGGGCATGCCAAGATGGGGGTTTTGTGGTTCTAGATACAGTGTTCAGGGTGGCCTTATTCAGGTGATATTTGGACCAAGCCTTGGAGAAGTTGAGGAAGTAGCCCTGTGTCTGTCTTAGGGCGATTACTTTAGCAGAGGGATCAACAAATGGTTAAGCCTGAGGTGGAGGTGCAGCTTGGTTTCTCTAGGACCAGCAAGGAGGCTGACAGGATGGAAGCCGTGTGAGGGGAGAGAGTGGAGGGCCATGCAGGCCACACAGAAAGGGCTGTAGCACTTACACTGTGAGGGATGGGGAAAGTGGAGGGTTTAAATATAGTCTTGTCTCGCCACAGCTTCCAGAGGCATCCCCGGGCTTATTTGTAAAAGGATCCTCTGGTTTGAGCTGCACATGGGCTGTGGTGGGAAGTTGGTGGAACTAGGAAGACCAGTTATATGGCTGCTGTCATGGGGAGGCAGGACAGGATGGTAGCTGTGAGCAGAGTGGTGGAGGAGGATGGTGAGGGCTGTGTTGAAGGGTTACTGCCTTGCTGACAGGATTTGGTGATGAGTAAGGGATGGAGGAGAATGCTGAGAATGCTTTTGGCCTAGATAATCAGACAGTTAACTGAGATGAGAAGCTTGTAGTGGAGGAGGTTTGGGGGAACATTAAGCATCAGTTTCAAGTTTGAGGTGTCTGTTGCATAGTAGAGGTGTACAGGAAGTAGTTGCATGTACCCAAGAGTCTGGAGTGTGGGGAAGAGGTCTGGAATGGAGATATGAAATTGTCTTGAGCATCCGATTGGTATTTAAGGCCTTGGCACTGAGATCGAGGCAGGGACCATCATACTGAGGACAGCAAATGCACTTCTGGGCCTTGGCTCATGGTCTGACAGGAGACCCAGGAGCTTGCTCTGGGTTGCCCTTAACCAGTGTCAGCTTAGCATCATTGGCTTATGGGTGCCCCATGCGTTCTCTTGAACAGCTGCAGTAACTTGTCTTCAGCACAGGGCAAAATACTTGAGTTGAGTGCCAGCGAACGTTCCCACCCCTTTAGAAGACCAATAAAATGAGCTCCCTGCTTTCGTTCTGGGAGCCCTCTTGATAAGTTCTTGTCAGAGTTGTGTCTCCCTAAATGGAAGCCCTAGTTGCCTGCGAGTTTGCTTGCTTGGCTTGATCTCATTTTTGTGATTGTTTTTGGTCAAAATATCCTAGTGTCTGGCATCATGACCCAGGATTGAAAAGTCCAGGTGCTGAGCAGTGCTTTTTGGCCTGTAAGAACTGCCCTGTGCTTTTCTCAACTCACTTAATAATATGTTTGTTTCTCTTTCTACAGGCCAAAGCCGTCTTGAAATTCATCGAGGGGATCTCGGAGAAGACCCTGAGGAGTACTGTTGCCCTCACTGCTGCCCGTGGACGGGGAAAATCTGCAGCCCTGGGATTGGCTATTGCTGGGGCGGTAGCATTTGGGTAAGGGGTCTGACTCTCCATCTGTAGGACCTTTGAGCTTTGAGGGGGTGTGCACGTTTTGAGGTCAGGAGACTGGCAGAACTGTTAGCTCAGGTTCCCCATTCTCAGCTGGTTCACTGTGATTTTTCAAAGTCTTGGGTGCCTGCCTGGAAATGGCAACAGTTTCCCCCAGGACACCCAGAGTTGCTGTGTGCACAGACACCCACCAGGGCCTTTGTTTTTTGCTGTTTACAGTTGAACAAACACAAAAGCAAAGGATGTGGGGTCAGAAACTTTAAAATTTCAGGGATGAGAATATATGTACTTTGCTGACCAAAGTACAACTTGGATATTTTAATGATCTTGATTAATAGGTCTTATGTCAGGTGCAGTGGTGCACATCTGTAATCCTAGTGACTTAGGAGGCTGAGGCAGAAGGGTTGCAAGTTTGAGGCCATCCTTTGCAACTTAGCAAGAACATAACTTGCAAAAGGATTGGGGGTATAGCTTGGAGGTAGAGCACCTCTGAGTTCAATCCTCAGTACAAAAAGAAAATGGTGTGGGGAATGGATATGTAATGTAGTTCTATGGTAAGGTAGTGTTTGGTACTAGCATATTTAAAGCTTGGGTTTGACTTCCTCAGTACTAGGAGGGTGGGGGAAAATGTCTATTTTCGAGGAGTTGCCTTTGAGTATGTTACTTTTTTTTAGTTCTGGGTGGAAGATTTATGTAGTTGCTAATATAATGTGTGCTCCCATGCAGATATGATAATTGACCTAGAATTTTCTTTGTTCTATATGCATAATCTTCCTTGGCCCTCATTTCACCCCTGTGGTCATTTTATAGTTGGGTAAACTGAGGTGGTCCAGTGACACCCAGGATTTCCCATCAAGTCACTGGGATAGATATGGGGCTTAACCTTAGCTCCTGACTTCAGCTCTGTCCTTCCTGCTGCTCCATCCATACCACTCAGCCTCTTGGCCACAAGCATCCTTTGTACTTAGCTAGGATTCTGGAGGTCATTTGTGGCCTTGACCTGGCCGCATTTGGAAACCTCAGTGCAGTGAGTGCCGAGTATGAGGCTCATCCTCTTGTCAGGATGCTGGACTGAGGCAGTTTGCTGGTTCTGCATACTGACAGTTGTCCCTGCCTCTTGCACTTTGCTGTTGCAGGTTTTGGTAATTGAATGTCGCCTCTTGTACCTTGTTAATGTGTTTTCATTGCTTTGGGAAGAAAAATTTCCTCGGGTCTGGAGATACTTTCCTTCCCTGGCAGGTGTCTGCCTTTTTATCCTGCTGTTGTCTCTGGTTATCCCCAGTGTGACAGGAGCAAACAAAAATAGTTTTGTGTTTTTAATTTTCTTCAATTTCTTAACAGATCCTCCCTTTTTTTTCTTTCTGTAGGTACTCCAATATTTTTGTTACCTCTCCAAGCCCTGATAATCTCCACACACTGTTTGAATTTGTATTTAAAGGATTTGATGCTCTGCAGTATCAGGTAAGAAATTGGGATAATTTCTTTTGATTTAGTGCTGATTTTAAATCCAGGTGGTCTTTGGAATGTTTGCTTGCTTCTTAATTTTGAATTTCTAAAGCTTGTCATTGGTTTGACCTTTTCCCCCTAGGAACATCTGGATTATGAGATTATTCAGTCTCTAAACCCTGAGTTCAATAAAGCAGTGATCAGAGTGAATGTCTTCCGGGAACACAGGCAGACCATTCAGGTGAGGCTCGTGCTCAGACCTTGTTCCTTGATAGCATGCTTAGATCCTGCAGGATGTAATGGACTCTCTGAATTTTCTTCCAGGTGTCCTGTGTACGGTGTAATTGTTGTAACAGTATTATTATCATATGAGAAACTTTCTAGATTTCCAGCTTTTTCTAAAGAAGGGCATTAAGTCAATAAATGTGTGTAGTTTGATTGAAAAGTTGTAGTTCTGCCCCACGAGTGTGGACTGTGGGATTGAGATTATGCTGATAAGCAAAGAGAATCATTGTTCTGACATCAGTTCTCATTTTGTTTGGTTACTGCAGGTTTTGAAATGGTGCATCTGTACCTAGAACAATGACTTCACTATTTAAAAGAAAAAAAAACTTTGCAAACTGTGCTCTTTGTGGTTTAGCCAATGACCTATTTTCTTTTTTAAACAGTATTTTCCCCAAAGCTCCATAAATCTTGGGTGCTCTGTAAACCTGAATGCTCTCCTCTTAGTCCAAAGGCTGCAATTTTGTTCAGTCTCTTAAAGGCATCTGTGTGACAGGCTTATAGAAGGGACCAAGTCTGCCAGGCTCTTATCGGAGTGGATTCAATGATTATTTTTGGAGTTGTTGTGGGGGAGGGAAGTGAGCTAGGTGAACTTGGTAGTTTATGTTCTTGAACTTTAGTGCATATCAGAGCATATGATGTGCCTGTTGAGTAGGAGTTTTTGATAAAAGAATCCAGATGTTAAACAGTGTCCTGTGTCCATGCCTTTTATCTGAAGGATCTTAATTTTTCTCACTGGGTCTTTTTTAGAATCTCTTCATTCTACATACTTCTTACCACCTTTTTTTTTTTTTAAATATATTTTTTTTTAGTCATAGGTGGACACAATATTTTTATGTAGTGCTGGGGATCAAACCCAGTGCTTTGCTCTCTACCTCTGAGCCACAACTCTAGCCCCTTCCCAATTTTGCTTGATTTCATTAGCAATAGTAGTCTTTTCTCCTCTCAGCTATGTGTTGGGGGTGGGGCTGGGGGCAGCTGCAGGCTATGAGAATAAAGAGACCTGTTAAAAAATCAAGAAAAATACACTGGTCAAGAAGGAAAACATTTCTCTGAAAGGCTCTGGCTCAGCCCTTGCTGCCTGTCAGATTTATAATCAAATACTGGGGTCCTTTTGTCTCCAGACTACAGTAGGAGTGCAGAGGAGGTAAACCGGCTTGTGAGACCCCATTTATGTTCCTTTGAGACATCCTTCTTGCTGGAGAAGGCCTTTAGATGAAAGCTGTTCATGACCCCAGGCCTCGTTCTGTGCTTCCATGACATGCTTGTTTAGTTTCTGCCCTTGAAAGTCAAGACATGGGGCCTGTTGAGAATGTGTGTCCTGTTGCCAGAAGTGAGTAGGCTTGTTCTCTCCCTGACCCAGAAGCTTCGGTTAAGCAAACAGTTAATGGGATTGGGATGAAAGATTTCAAAGCTGCAGGCAAGTACTAAAATAACACTGAAATGCCCAGCACTGAGATTTTAAGGAATGTTGACATGTTGCTGATTTCATGATTAAGGGTCATTTTTATTTTTGAGAACCTGCACATCAGATGCAGTTGAAGTTCCTCTTGTATCCCTCCCATTTCCTCCTGCCACTCCCTGTAGATAACGGATTCTGAAATTGGTGCATTTCCTTTCCATTTCAGTAGTTATTACATAATTCATGTTCATGAACAGTAGTGTACGTACTTGTCCTCCATGGTGCATCTTTCCTTACTCAACATTCACTTTGAAGATTTGTCAGGTTGAAGCTTATAGATCTGATGGATTCATTTTTAAGCACTTCATGAGTAAATTTGTTTCTAGAAGTAGAATCGCTGGGTCTTAGGGTATGCATAGATTTTCAGCTTTCTTGGTTTTTACCAGATTTTTCTTCTGAGTACCCATTAACCTTTACACCAGCATTCTGAGTTTTTGTTTCACTAAGTCCTCACCCAATACTGGGTACTTAACAGCAATTTGTTTTGTCTGTCCCTGGGTGAAATGGTGTCCTCTTTATGTCTTTAGCAGTTCCCCAATTATTCATGAGGTTGAATTATCTTTGAGTATGTTAATTGACTATTCAGGTTTCCTCTCCTGTAAAATACCTCTTCATGGTGTTTTTAAAACCACTTGGAAAATAGCAGGAAGCCCTGAAGAAACTGAAGGGGTTGTTTGTATGCATAAGGACATGAGTATGTTTGTTAAGAATAGTCCAGAAATTTTCCCACCAGTGCAGGGGGATTGGTGGTCTTACGGGGGTGGGGGTGGGGTGTGTGTGGGTGGGTGGGGGTGTAGCACCCAGTTTGAGAACCTGAGGTTCACCTTGGGGGTTGAGCTGTGCCACTGGCTCCCTAATCTGAGATGGGGAGAAATGGGAAGAGGCATGAAGAGAGAGGGGAAAAGCAGCTACCATTTGTCAGCTGTGTAAGCCAGGCACTTATGCATACTTATTAGAGCAGCCATAAAGCAGTAGGTACTTCCTGTTTTACAGAAGAGCAATCTGAGGCCCTGTGACCTGTGCAGGGCCACACAGCTAGTGGCTGAACTGTTGGAACCCAGGCGTCCCACTCCATCCCTGTTCCATTCTTGCTCTGCCAAGCAAAGGGAGAGAAGAGAAAGGGAGGTGGGATGGAGTGCCTCTGTCAGTGGTTGCCAGTCCTCACCGCTGAGACTTTATGGCCATATTCGTAATCTGAACACTCTCTCCCACAGTACATACACCCTGCAGATGCTGTGAAACTGGGCCAGGCTGAGCTCGTTGTGATAGATGAAGCTGCTGCCATCCCGCTGCCCCTGGTAAAGAGCCTGCTCGGGCCCTACCTTGTTTTCATGGCATCCACCATCAATGGGTAAGGCACCATGGGTATGAGTGGTTGCTCTCATCTTGGGTTCTTGCAGATCAGGTGGCATCTAATGAACGTGGCCTGGGCGACCTGCAAACCAAATCTGAGGCTCCAAGGCTGCTTCATTCTTTTCTGGGGATTCTCAAACTGGAGTCGACCTCTTCATAAATTTTTACTCCCTTCTGGTCTGACATTAAGTGAGCAGCATGAAGCTGAAAAAATTCAGAACCTGGGGCTGAAAATGTAGCTCAGCAGTAGAACGCTTGCCTAGTACGGGTGAGGCTTTGGGTTCAATCCCCAACATTGTGCACACACACAAAAAAAGTGCAGGGATGGGTTGTGGAGACAGAGGTGGGGCTGTAGCTCAGTGACAGAGTGCTAGCCTGACATACAAGTCTGAGTTCTGTCTCCAGCCTGCCAAATGAATGTAGTTACATGTGATGTGCTGGGGAGGCCAAAGCAACACAGCCCTGAGTTCATTTTTTAAAAAAATTGAGGAGTCAATGTGATGGATGTCTCCTGAATGTGTTTTTTAATAAAGAACACAGATTGAGCTGGATGCTGTGGTGCATGCTTATAATCCCAGCGGCTAGAGAGGCTGAGACAGGAGGATTGCAAATTCAAGGCCCCTCAGCAACTTGGGCCCTATTCAACTTAGACCCTGTCTCAAAGTTAAAAAAAAAAAAAAAAAAAAAAAAAAGGGGGGTGGGGATATGGCTCAGTGGTAAAGCACCCAGGTTCAATTTTGAGGGGAAGGGGATACCCTTCCCCTCCAAAAAAAAAAAAGTACATGCATGGCAATATCAAATTATGTCTTAGAATTATGTAAAAAAGCAGGTTTATATTGGCATAAGAACTTTTTGAAAATTTGAAATATTCAGCTGATTTGCTATGGAAAAATTAGAAAATAAGCAAGGGAAAAAAATCGGGGGCTGTGGATGTAACTCAGTGGTAGTGCATGTGCTTAGCATCCGTGAAACCCTGGGTTTGATTCCTAGCATCAAAAAGAAAAAGCACCTTAATCCAGCCATCCAAAGATAGCTTCCTTTAGAATTTTACTTTGTTTTCTGTGAATCTATTTTATTTTGGTTTTGAACAAGAAAAAAACTTTGTATTGTTATAAATTTGCCTTTCTTATGTAACAATATATTAAACATGTATTTTTTATACATACATTTTTTTAGTTGTAGATGGACTCAATATCTTTATGTTATTTTTATGTGGTGAGGATCAAACCCAGTGCCTCTCATATACTAGGCAAGTTCTCTACCACTAAGCTACAACTCGAGCCCCAATATGTATTTTCAATATTGGAAAGATTTCTGAATGGAAATCATATCTTGAGATAATTTTGTAGATTTATTAATATCACTATCCACAATTATGCTGAAAATAGTAGGTAAAATGGATTTTTTACCTTTTTAACAGCTTTGGGATATAATTCATATACCATATTTACCCTTTTAAATTGGTGTTTTGTAAATTCAGAGTTGTGTGAAGACATTCTATAAATCATTCTCCAATCCCTCTACACTCCCCAAACCCAGGGAGTCACTCTGTAGATTTGCCTATTCTGGATTTTTCATACAAATGTAATATGATTTTTTTTTTTTTTTAACTGAGGGTTGAATTTAGGACTATTTTACCACTGAACTGCATCCCTAGCCCTTTTTGTGTTTTATTGAGGCAAAGTCATGCTAAGTTGCTGCGGGGTGGTAGGTTGCTGAGACTAGCCTTGATGCTTTCGAGTCTTCTGCCTCAGCCTCCCGAATTGCTGGCATTATAGGCCTGCGCCACTGTATCTGGTTCAATATGTGGTCATGTTTCAGTGGTTGGCCTTTTTCCACTCAAGCCAGTGTTTTGCAAGTTCATCCATGTATTGTCTGTATCAGCACTCAGTATGGGTGTACCAGTTTTATTTATCCATTCATCTGTTGGTACACATTTGAGTCTCTGCCTTTTGACTGTTAGGAGTAATGGCACAATGATCATTCATCTGTAGGTTTCTGTGTGGATGTGTTTTGGGTTCTCTTGGATGTATGCCAAGGAGTGGAATTGCTGGCTCAAATGGTGACTGTGTTTAACCACGTGAGGAACTGCCAGACGGTTTTTCTAAGTAACTTCACCATTTTAAATTTCTACAAATAAGCAGTGCTTGGTAGTCCGCTACCTAAGATTTTCACTGTGGTCAACTGCAGTTGAAAAATATCAATGGAAAATTAAATAACTTACTAGAGCATATTTTTTTTATAAAGTTTTACTATTAATCTCTTATTGTGCCTAGTTTATAAATTCCTTTATTGTAGTTATGTATATTCATGGATCATCTTGGAATATGTTCCCTGAAGATAAGGAGGGTGACATTATGAAGATTCTAACTCTCCCACGTCCTTGCCAATACTTGTGTCTTGTTGATGACAGGTGTTTCTGGTGGTTATGAAGCGATATCTCCTGGTTTTTATTTGCTTTACCCTGGTAACTAGTGATGTTAGACATCCTCTGCTTGAGTCCCTTCCTTATCAGATATCAGATACATGATTTACAAAAGTTTTCTCTCATTTTGAAGGTTTTCCCACTTTCTTGGTAAACTTTTGTGCACCAAGATTTTTTTTTTTTTTTTTTTTTTGGTCATGCCAGGGATTGAACTCGGGACCTCACACATGCTAGGCAAGTCCTGCATTACTGAGCTGTATCTCCAGCTCTGGTTTTTCAAATTCTGTTGTGCACATGTGTGTACATACATATGCACACATATGAGATACATGGAATTCCTTTTGAGAGAACTTTGTTATTGTGAGATGGGGAGGAATGAAGCACTTAATCTAGCTTTTTGATCATGATGTTACAGTATTTGAGTAAGCATTTAAACAGTCCTCAGTGCTGTGAAATGATGTAATACGAAGTGAAATGGAAAACCTGTGGAATAGCATGTGCCTTGAAGTCACATATTCTTGTGACTAAAGACAAGAAGGAAATGCTCAAAAATGAAGACAGCTTGTTCCATGACCAGATTATAAATGATTTAACATTTTTCCAAGTATTTTGTCAGTTGTTTTATATCAACTTTAAGTGAAAGTAGTGATGAAAAGAATCCTTGGGTAATGGATTTATCTTGAATTCCCAGTTTGGGATCAGTCCCGGTTAACTCATGTGCGCTACTTCTAGTAACGGCTTCCCCCACATTAGTTGATATTTAACTTTGTACTGATTTCCCTGTGCTAAAGACTTTAACTTGTGTCATCTTTTAGTCCTTGTTTATTGTATCTTTTTAGTCCTTGTTTATTGTACCAGGGATTGAGCCCAGGGGCACTTACCCACTGAGTCACATCCCTAGCTCTTCTGTTTAATTTTATTTGGAGACAGGGTCTCGCTGAATTGCTTAGTGCCTTGCTAAGTTGCTGAGGCTGGCTTTGAACTTTTGATTCTGCCTCAGCCTCCTGAGCTGCTGGGATTACAGGCATGTGCCACTGTATCCAGCCTCAGTTCTTATTTTTTTGATTTAAGATGGTTAGCCCAAGTGTGTAGAATAACTTTCATCGGAGGAAGCTAAATGAGACCTCATTCCTTGCCTGAATGGCTCCGAGCCAAGCCATCAGGCTGCCCTCTGGATGTGTGTGTGCTGTGCTGGAAGCTCAGATGAGCAAAACTATCCTTGGAGCAAAACCTGGTGTTTCAGCAGGCTGGTCCCACCCCCATCCCCCCAGGGGTCCCTGCGCCTGACTGCCATGCATTTTTCCTAGCTATGAGGGCACTGGCCGGTCACTGTCCCTCAAGTTAATTCAACAGCTCCGTCAGCAGAGTGCCCAGAGCCAAGTCAGCACCACCGCCGAGAATAAGACCACAACGACAGCCAGACTGGCATCAGGTACCCTCGGAACCCTGACAGGACGCTGAGGTTCACAGCAGGTCCCCTCAGACCCTCATGCTGGATCCTTGCTTCTCTGTGACCTCTTGGGCAGTTACCAAGCTTTCCTGTCATCAGAGAGAGATGGGGTCCCCAGGAGGACTTTTCTTTTTCTGGCTACAGCTGTCTGGGGACCACGTGGGAGCCTCACTTGGGTCCTCTGGAGGCTGGACCCTTGTCATCCCTGTCCTGGGGCATGGGTGCATTGACTTAGCAGAGCCCTGTGGGGTTGTTCTCGTGGCAAGTTGACTATCCACTAGAATGATTTAAAACTACCCCCTTTAAATACTCAAGACTTGGGTGTCTGGGTACCACGTGACAAAGATAAGGGAACATTCTTCCTTGCTCTGTTAGTGCATATTTAATAATCAGTTCTAATGGTGTGTGTGTGACTTGAACAGCACGAACACTGCACGAGGTTTCCCTCCAGGAGTCCATCCGATATGCCCCCGGGGACGCTGTGGAAAAGTGGCTGAATGACTTGCTGTGCCTGGATTGCCTCAACATCACGCGAATCGTCTCTGGCTGCCCCTTACCTGAAGCCTGTGAGCTGTATCCTCTGGGCCCCACTGGCCCTGTGAAAGGGAGAGGGCGGTACAGGAATTAAGAGGTTTTGGGAGAGGTACAAGTTAAATATTCTTGCTGGGTATGGTGTCACGTCTAGTCCCGTCTCCTGACTTGGGAGACTAAGACAGGATTGCTTGAGCCAGCAAACGGTTCAGGGCCAGCCTGGGCAACATTGTGGGATACAATTTCTCCAAAAAAAAAAAAAAAAAAACCTTTCTGGATTCCTTCCTCCTTTCTTCTCCAACCTTGTGTGCTCTGGATGCTGGGCTCCTCCTCACAACTGAGGGGAAACCTGTTTCCAGGGTGTCCTGTTTGGGCCCTCTGGTTTGTTTTGGTTGCTTAACTCCCAGCCAGGTACTATGTTAACAGGGATACCCTCTTCTGCTACCACAAGGCCTCTGAAGTTTTCCTCCAGCGACTTATGGCCCTCTATGTGGCTTCACATTACAAGGTAACTGCGCTAACCCTGCAGCAAGCTTCCACAGGGAGCAGCTGAAACTCCCTTGGCAGTCCTTTTACTTGACTTTTCATGCCTTTTGTTACCTGGTGGCTCAGGGGACCTTTCCACTGGGACTTTAAATGTCCCAATGGTGGTGAGGTCCCATGGTCTCACTGGAGAAGTTGTATCCCCGGCGTAGTTTGTGTGGCTAGTGTTGGGCTTCTGACTTTGCACAGAGTACAGAATTCTTCATGTAGCTTTGAGAGTGGGAGCTGGAGAAGATGGAGAGCTTCGCCTGGTTTTAAAGAGCACTTGTATTTCTCACCTGCCTACTAACCTGAGAGGTTGAGATACCATCGCACTTACTGTAACCCAACTGGCCTGAGACCAGCTTTGTACTGCTGAGCTCTTTTGTTTTTAAGAAGTGAATCTGATGGCTTAGAATATTTGGAACCATTAAAAATTAATGGGCGGGGTTTGGAAGGATACTTTTTGAAGCTCTGCATGGTATTTTTACGGATATTACGGATAGCCTTTAATGGAAGGCTGAAGAATCAGATTTGATGGTGGTTTTTCTTGAAATAGCAGCCTTTGGAGGAAGTTCACTTATTGGCTATGAAATGGTGCTAAACCTCTTATTCCACTCAGTGGCCTCAGTGCTGAGAGGACAGCAGGCTTTGGAGATTCAGTCTCTCCTAAGCTATTGTGAAGAGTCTTAGCCTATTATAATGCTAGAAAGGTGCCTGGTTGGGTTCTAGTGCCTTTTTGGCTGTGGGTATGGTGGTACTGCCAGTACCCCACGGCTCTAAAGAGGCATTGAGTCTCTTGAGTCAAGGACAAGAGAAGGTAAACATTTCCTGCTGACCTGGCTTTGTGCTTGTACCTGCAGAACTCTCCCAATGATCTCCAGATGCTCTCTGATGCGCCTGCTCATCACCTCTTCTGCCTTCTGCCTCCCGTGCCCCCCACCCAGAATGCCCTTCCTGAAGTGCTTGCGGTTGTCCAGGTACAGAAGCAGAGGCATCCTTGTGGCATTGCCTTGGGGAGCACTTGGACATCAGTGTAGGAGGGGAAGCTGCTGACTCCTGGCCTTGAGCCAAGTGACTGGGTCTGTTGGGGTAGGTGATCGGGTGTTGTTCAGAATTTGGAGCTGTCTTCACTGTCTCCCTCAGGTGTGCCTTGAGGGGGAGATTTCTCGTCAGTCCATTTTGAATAGCCTGTCTCGAGGCAAGAAGGCTTCAGGGGACCTGATTCCATGGACAGTGTCAGAACAGGTAAAGGGCTGTCCCTGGCACATCTGAGCAAAGCTGGTGGTGTTAGAAGATGTTTGGGTTGCTAAGTTACTTCTTTGTGTGTCTTACATAGTTCCAAGATCCAGACTTCGGTGGCCTTTCTGGTGGAAGGGTCGTTCGTATTGCTGTTCACCCGGATTATCAAGGGGTAACATGTTCACATGCCTTTTGACCCTGGTGTGCTGTTGGCTTTGGTCATGTTGCTGGCAACTGTTTGGGGCAGATGTACTTCGTTGCTTAAATAAGAAGCTGGGGGGCTGGGGATGTGGCTCAAGCGGTAGCGCGCTCGCCTGGTATGCGTGCGACCCGGGTTCGATCCTCAGCACCACATACCAACAAAGATGTTGTGTCCGCCGAGAACTGAAAAATAAATATTAAAAATTCTCTCTCTGTCTCTCCTCTCTCACTCTTTTTAAAAAAAAAAAAAAAAAAAAAAAAAAAAAAAAAAAGAAGCTGGTTAAGAAGCAAGTGAAGTTCTAGGCTTTTCTTTGCTCTGGAGAGTTTAGCCAGTGCTCAGGGGTAGCCCGGCAGACAGGATGATGGGGTCTGCTTCCTCTTGAGAATAGGGGACTTGACCCAGGTTGGCTTTCTGTAGTGTACCCTCTGTCACTTGGAAAGGCTCATGAGAAATTAATTGTAGAAACTTACCTGTCAGTGGTATAGAAACGGCCCTGCTTTGGGGCTTGCTAATCTGGAAACCAAATAGCATAGCCAGCCATCCTTGGCTTCAAGTAGCAAATGGGCTGTTCTTGATGGGTAGACCTTTGTAAGAATTGGGGTGACTCTTCGTTCAGTCTTGAGTCTTGTCTCTAACCACATTGAGGGATTTCATTGGTCCCCTTTACCAAGTGTAGTTTAACCAGGAGTGAAGGCTCTAGAAGTGATGTGGGGACTAGAAGTAGCTTTGCCTAAGAACAACTCTTCCCTTTGCCCATCCCCTATTTGCTCATAGATGGGCTATGGCAGCCGAGCTCTGCAGCTGCTGCAGATGTACTACGAAGGCAGGTTCCCTTGTCTGGAGGAAAAAGTCCTCGAGACATCCCAAGAAATCCACACCGTAAACAGTGAGGTGAGTGTGTTTGGGCAGGACACCTATGCTGGGTGTGGGAGGATAGTTCTTTGGGACTTGAGGGGCACCATTGAGAACTATGTAGAGGTCTAGGCTCTTCTCCATTTAGGGAGGGGGCTGCTTCTCCAGCCTAGTGCTTGAATGGAGATCCTCAGACCAGTACCATTAATATCACCTGGAAACTTGTTAAAAATGCAAATTTGTAGCTGGTGTGGTGCTTGCCTGTAATCCCAATGACTTGGGAGGCTAAGGCAAGAGGATGGCAAGTTCAAGGTCAGTCTCCGCAATTTGGTGACACCCTGTCTAAAAATTAAAAAAAAAAAAAAAAAAGGTGGGGGGTGTACTCTGGTGCTGTTGCTTAGTGATAGAGCACTCCTGCATTCTCTAGTGGGGGGATTGTGATCCCCACCCCAGATCTGCTGAATCAGACTCTAGTGGTGGCTCCCCAGGCTATCCATTGTGTGACGTATCCTCAGGTTTGAGAAGCCTTGCTCTGCAGTGTCCCCCTTGTTAGAACTCAGACTATGAAAGTTCATCAGTCCTTGCTAAGGATAATAGCAGTTGATTGACAGCTTTTCACATGTACTCATTGGTCTTCATAGTGCCTATGTGGGAGCAAGGGAAGGGATTTTGTTTAATGTCGGACATGAGACATTTTGTCATTTTTTTTTCAAGGTCCCAGAGCTGTCAGGTGACAGAACCTGGACTTGAAGCTGGATCTTCAGAACCCTGCCTCTGTGGGTTCATAATTTTATTAATCTTTCTCAGCTCTTTTTCTACTTTCTCAACTCAGAGCAGTGTGATTCCACACATACCCAGGGTTTGGGATACCTGGGAGTGATCACCTGACTCATTGAAATTGTTTGAAAACTACAGGAACAAATGTCTTCTGGTTTAGGTGTGTGAGGGGTGCTTAAGAATGTCGCTAACGCCCTCCCTCTGGGTGGTGTCCTTTCCCTTTGTCTCCCTAGGCCTTCAGCTTGTTGGAGGAAGTTGTCACTCCCCGGAAGGACCTGCCTCCCTTACTCCTCAAACTGAATGAGAGGACCGCTGAGCGCCTGGATTACCTGGGTGTATCCTATGGCCTGACCCCTAGGCTCCTCAAGTAAGTGCCTATCCTGTTTCCCTGGCATCGCCTCCACAGTGACAGACTTCTGTGGGCCCTGTGTCCTGGGCAGCCAGTGTCTGTCTGCCAATTCCCTGTTCCTCCTGGCCCTTGCCACTCCCCAGAGGGTACACATGATGACCTGTTCTCCTTTTTGCAGGTTTTGGAAACGAGCTGGATTTGTTCCCGTCTATTTGAGACAGACTCCGGTAAGTGAGGCATTGTAGAATCCTGTAGGCTTGGGGTGGGGTGCCTGAATTTTAAGAGTACAGTTGAGCAGTCTTGTATTTCAAGTTGCTTTCTGAAGGAGGCACGAAAATATGTGGCTGTGACAGAGCTGCTGGATTATTGAGGGCAGATGTGAGAATTAGGGACTTTCAGTTCACTTAAAAATATATTAGCACCTGCAGAGAATCGGGCAGTTTAAAATAAGAGAAGCTTATTTTCTAATGGATGTAAATGGCAGAAAACTGAACACAAGCTATCTTCAGAGAGTGAGATGTTCTGTGAAGAAATCCATATTCTAGCATAATCTGGCACCAAGCTGAGGGGCAGCCTCCGTACTGATTGGAGACAGTTGGGGGTAAAGGACACAGAACACAAATGGACGTCCTTTCCTGATGCAAAAGGGAGCAAAGAAACGAGGTGGCTATTGGGAAGCAAGCGGCAGGGAAGGTTTGTCAGGTGGGAGAGTCTCGAAGTGTGCCTGCACCCTGCAGGGATGGTGCACAGGTGGAGAGCGCCGAGTGGAGGCCTGGAGGTGAGGGGTGGGACTCAGGCAGACGGGCAGCCACTTCATCCCACAGCAGGAAGGCAGGCTGAGTGTGGGTACCAAGGGTGCTGGGCAGCATTTGGGAGGATGGATTCTTGGATTGTTTCCCTAGTGAGGGGAACAGCCGAGGGAGTGTGGAAAGTGTGATTTGGAGCATGCAGAACTGGTACACCCTGGGTCATATAGTGTCCACTTGAGAGTTCAGAGTGGACCTGATGAAGACTGCTGGGTGTTCAGCCACTTGTGTGGGTGCGGAGCAGCACATGCATGGGTTATGTCCTTGTCAGTGCACCTGGTTGGGACTGGGTGGATTTGGCCATTGAGCGCAGGAGAGTGCAGGGTGGTAAGCTTCAGTGCAGCCTGATGCGCCCTGCCTCTGGTCTTGCTGCTTGTGACTTGTGTTTTGTTCCCTGAGTGCTCTTCTATGGCAAGTCACTAGGTATTTTGGTGCTGTGGAATTTGTTATGTAGTTTAAGTTTTAACTCGCACACCGGTTGCCAGCTTGGGTTTGAGGGCTTGGCCCTGGAGTCTGTATTGTAAGGCACCAAGACCACCTTGACTGGATCAGGCTACGTATAAGCTGTCAGTCCTGAGTTCAGAACCTACACCTTTAGGAAGTTGTGTGCGGGTGACCTCTGAAAGCTTGTGTGGGAACTGAGGTGCTGTGGGGAATGAGGGTGAGGGCCTGCCACCAAGGGTCTCTGCTGGCTGGGGAAGGAGAAGGGGTTGCAGCACAGAGCCCTCCTCTGTGCTCACCCTTCACCATCAGTGGACCCTTTGGATAAAGGGTTCTTGGTGCCAAGGAGGAACATTTGTCTCCAGAATGACCTGACAGGAGAACACTCGTGCATCATGCTGAAGACTTTGACTGACGAGGACGAGGCTGACCAGGGAGCCTGGCTCTCAGCCTTTTGGAAAGGTGAACGCAGGCGGAGTGGAGAGGGCACGGGGGGTTGAGGAGCCGGAATGCCTGCAGCTCACTAACTCTGCCTGATGGTCCTGCAGATTTTCGAAGGCGGTTCCTTGCTTTGTTGTCCTACCAGTTCAGCACCTTCTCCCCTTCCCTGGCTCTGAACATCATTCAGAACAGGAACGCGGGGAATCCAGCCCAACCTGGTGAGTTGGGTGGGATGGTGGTGGAGAAGGGGGTGGATGGGTTGTGGAGTGGGGCTGAGGGCCTGGTTCTAATCCTTCATCTCCCACCCACACCTCCTGCAGCCTAGGCTCCCGCTGTGCCCTAGGTGGGCCCACATGCCATCTTCCCTTCACCATGACCTCTGGGATGTGACTAGACATAAGTTATCAGAGAAGTTCAGACAGCAGCTAGCTGTGGGGCCTGATTTAAGTCCTGGAATCTAGGGGTAGTGACATTGTACTAGGGGTACGTGGCCAATCTGTAGAAGTGCTTTGTGCACAACAATTTTGTTTGAATAGTTAAAATGTGAATATTTTAAAAACAAGGGATTGTTAATAGTTGTATTGTTTCCAGTTAGATATACATGTGTGTATACATAATTTTTATGTATTTACATAACACGTGTGTCTATATACTTTTGCCAATTGTATTTTTTAAAATTTTTTTATTGTGGATGAGACTTTTTTTTTTTTTAATATGTGGTGCTGAGACTCGAACTCAGTGTTTCCACACATGCTAGGCACTATTGCTGGTGAGTTGGGTGGGATGGTGGTGAATTGCCCCTTGCCAATTGCATTTTAATGGAAAAAAAAAATCAAGAGTCCCTTTGGCTGCACTGGGCAGAGCAGAGCACGTATACTTTCTGTGAGGCTGGATTCTGAGTAACAGTGATGGTGGGAGAAGGGTGGTGTTGTGTCCCTTTGACCTTAGGGCTCAGGAAGACTTTTCTGGACTGGGTATTGGTGTGGGCACTCTGTCCAAGTCACATGCCAGTTGTCCCTCTGCCTGGCATGGAACTGCCCCCTCCTTTGGGAGGAGAGTCTGTGCACAGTTTAGTTGTGTTGGATGGGTGGCTGCACTTGTAGGTGGGTGCTGCGTGTGAGGGTGCCATCCCTTGGCTCCTGGAGTCCTGGCCATCTGACTTTTATCACCCCTGCAGCCCTAGGCCGGGGGGAGCTGGAGGCACTCTTCCTCCCCTATGACCTGAAGCGACTAGAGATGTATTCACGAAACATGGTTGACTATCACCTCATCATGGACCTGATCCCGGCCATCTCCCGCTTGTATTTCCTGAACCAACTGGGGGACCTGGCCCTGTCTGCTGCCCAGTCGGTAGGTTACTGGTGCTCATGTGGGGGCAGAGCAGGGAGAGCTGTGGAGGTATTTGTGTGCTGGGCATTGGGTTGGGCTCTTTGACATAGATTGACATAGCTGATAGGTAGGTCTCGGCCTTATCCTCCGGGTCTAGGGTTAAACGCTGTACCCAGCTGTACATTTAGTAAGTGGTCAACTGCATTGAGTCCACGTTCTTCCCCCCACCTTCCCTGGTCCATCTACTTTGATGCCTAATTCTGCCTTACCAGAAGCCCAGGAAACCCCAGGCTTGTAATGCAGTCCTAAAGCAGGTGTTTGTCAGGAGAATAAAAATGAGATTGGGGACTTCAGGAGGGAGTGTTTCTTGATGGTTTCAGTGACGAGATGAAAGAGATGCCAGAATAAACAGCGTGGGCCTGTGACTTCTACCAGATAGGTTTGGTTAAAAGGAGGATAACTGGTTCTCAGGGCCATTTTAATGGGTCAGGGCCCGTCCTGGAGGCAACTCCAGCTGGTTTTTTATCTTCTAGGCTCTTCTCTTGGGGATTGGCCTACAGCATAAGTCTGTGGACCAGCTGGAAAAGGAGATTGAGCTGCCCTCGGGCCAATTAATGGGACTTTTCAACCGGATCATCCGCAAAGTGGTGAAGGTAATCTCGGCCTGAGAAGAGTTTGGTCTTTACAATAATATGACAAACCCACTCCCTGCTCTGTGTCTGAAAGACTGTTAACGGTTGGCAGTATTTGCTGCAAATCTACACACACACACACACACACACACACACACACACACACACACACACGACGTTTGGGACATTGGCTGAATCTCTAAAGTTCTGGGTTCTCTCCTGGGGGTCCATGTTGGGTGTCTCCCCATTGTGTTTATATGCTCTGAGTGCTCCTAAACTCTAGAGCACAGCTCTGCATCTTGGAGATGTACCTTTAAGTTCTGGGTAATGAGTGACTGAGTTCCTGTTGCTTTGTCACCTTCTCTACATTGTCTTTTGAAGCTGTTTAATGAGGTGCAGGAAAAGGCCATTGAAGAACAGATGGTGGCAGTGAAGGATGTGGTCATGGAGCCCACGATGAAGACCCTGAGTGATGACTTGGTATGTCCTTGCTCGGGGCTTCAGAGTCCAGAGTTTGTTCTCGTCAGTGTGGCCTGTGAGTGGGATATCTTCCCCATCCCCTCGTAGAGTCCCTGTGCTGTCTAAGCCAAGTAACGCTCTGTAGGTCTGAGCCCGCGCCTGTTGCACATGGGCCTAGTGGTGCCTCCTGCCGAGTGTGTGGAAGGGCAGGAACCCATCGTCTACTGGTGTAACTGTTCTGTCTTTTGGGATACTCTTTAGATAGGATTTTACGGTATTTATGTGTATAAAATCTTAAGGTTGCCTGTAATGGTCAAAAGAGAAGGGACTTGTTCTTGTCATGCTACTCTGCCCTCCCTGCTTCTGTGTTTTGTTCATCCCTTGACTCTGGGTCCTTGACCACAGGATGAAGCAGCAAAGGAATTCCAGGAGAAACACAAGAAAGAAGTGGGGAAGCTGAAGAACATGGACCTCTCTCAGTAAGGCTTGTTGAAGGGAAGGGAAGGGTCAGCCTTAGGGCCTGGGTCCTTCTGCAGGTTTCTCCTCAGCCACAACCTTGGTGCCCTGGAAGCTGGTTCAGGGAACCAGTTTCAGGAGCCTAACAGCTAGAGAACCCTGAGGAATTGAGACTGAAGTTTCAGAGGAATTGGTTTTCCCAGATCCCTTTAAGTTGCACTCAATAGGTCCCTAGAGTTCTGTGTCATGCCTCAGAGGCCCTTCTCAGAAGGGGGGATGGTAAGCAGATGAGTACCTACTTTTTAGGGGTCACATCTGTGCATTAGATTCTTCGTGTGAAGAAAGTATTGTATTTCCCCAAATCGAAATTCCCTGTGCGATAGCCTTCTGTGCTGGGCATCTTGCTTCATCTGCAGTATCCTCTTTCCCGCTACACCTGAAAGTTAATGGATTTGACAGTCCCTGCATGTCAGGACTGATACCTCTAGAATTAATGACCTGTGACCCTTTGTGCTGTGTTGTCTGTGACCTGGTCATGAGTGATGTGGTTGGTGTGAGTTGGGGTGGCCAGGATTCCCAGGTCAGTGTATTGAGTGCAGTTTCTGCCTTCCCCTTTGCTGGATTAACACTCTTGATGTTCCAGGACTATTGGATCCAAAAGAGGTGGGTCAGGGCAGGAGGCGGAGCTCTGGGCAGACTTCTGCAGGTGGGAACGAGGAACGGAATTGCAGGGGCCAGTGGCTGTTCTGGGTAGTTGAGAGTCTCGTGAGAAGCCAGCAGGCTGCCTTCCATGTGGGACTGTCCTCTCACTGGTGCCTGATGGCAGGCCTTGCCAGCCCTGTTGCTATGACACTTCTGTGGAGTGAAGCTGCACATCTCAGCCCAGCTGCGTGCCTGTCTTTTTCCCCTCTGTTCTTCAGACCTTAACATGGCTCATCCTGGCTTTCACGGCAGGAGCTGAGTGTTGTCACTGATCTGTTTTCTTTTAAGAGTCCTCTCCTCTCTGTTGGGTTTTGACATTTCTCCTCTTTTTGTAGGTACATAATCCGTGGGGATGATGAAGAGTGGAATGAAGTTTTGAACAAAGCTGGGCAAAATGCCTCGATCGTCAGCCTGAAGAGGTGAGGGTAGAAGTGTTGCATTCCACGACAACACTCAGGGTCCCTCCAGGTGAACTGGGCTGCACAAAATAATCATGCAGAGATGGATAAATACCTTTTTCTTTGGGTCCTGTGACGGCTCCTCTGACCTTAGAGGTCCGTAAAAAAAGAGCGAGGAGCATGTGCTGAACCCTTCTATTGGAGAAGCCATTCAAATGAGGCAAGGAGTCGGGTTTCAGGGGGTTGAATCTAGCTTCATGATTTCTGCTGTCAGCAAGTTGACAGGCCATGCCCATCTCATGAGCTGTTTGGGGATAATGACAGAGCAAGCGAAAAGACCAGAGTGAGGCCTGCCCAGGCAGAGGGGCAACATCAGTTCACTCCACTCTGCGCTCAATGTCCATAGCTTGCACACACTCTCTCTCTCTTTCTCTCTCTCTCTCTCTCTCTCTCTCTCTCTCTCTCTCTCACACAGCCTATGCCTGGCTTTTGCCACATCTCCACATTCTCATCACTCAGGGCTAGGGGGCGCTCGTTTTCTATGTGGCAGCTCCTGACTTACAGTCCCACACAATGACAGGAGCCTGGTGTAGATGCTTTGAGACAGAAGCCATGGCTTGTCTTTCTGCTGAGAGTGCACCAGGGTCCCCTTTGTACAAACCAGGCCGGGCTGTCTTGGCCTGCGTCTCCTCCCTCCTGTGTACACCAGCATGTCTGGAGGCGTCGCACTGCCACTGGCTGAGGCTGACTAGGCTTCAGTGCCACCGTCTGCCTCAAAACAGCAGCATGAGGGTTGTTTTATTACCTTCATTACTTTAATGATGAAGAATGAAGTCTCTGTGTAGGTGACTTCCCAAGAAACACCCAGCTAGTGAGGTACAGAGCTGGATTTGGGACCAGGTGTGTCCATTGCCAAACCTGAGTTTGAGCTGCCACCCAATCCTTCCTCGAAACTAGCAGTTCTCAAAATTTGGGTCTTAGAATTCCTTTCTGTCTTTAAAAAGAATGAGAACCGGGGCTGGGGATGTGGCTCAAGCGGTAGCGCGCTCGCCTAGCATGCGTGCGGCCCGGGTTCGATCCTCAGCAGCACCACATACCAACAAAGATGTTGTGTCCGCCAAGAACTAAGAAAAAATAAATAAATGTTAAAATTCTCTCTCTCTCTGTCCCCCTCTCTCTCACTCTCTCTTTAAAAAAAAAAAAAAAAAAGAACCATTGCCCATGTGGGTTAAACTGGCTATTGCTTCCCATACTAAGAGTTAAAAACTAAGAAACTTTAAAAATATCTAGCAATTTGAAATTAACAATGGATTCATGAGTTTTTGTTTTATTGTGTGCTGGGATTGAACTCAGGACCTGGCATATACTATGCAAGTGTTCTACCACTCAGCTGCATTCTCGACCCTCATTTGGTTTCTTGTTTTGAAAAGTTTTTTTTTTTTTTTTTCTTTCACCAAAATCTGTGAAACGAATCTGGGCCCAACATGACTCTGATAGCGATGCTGTTCCTCCTGTTCGGCACATTTACTCTGTTGTGCTGTTTTCTAGTGCCCTCTGGAAACTGAACATTTGTGAGAGAATGAAACAAAAAAGGCAAATGATGTTATTATGAAAATAGTTCTGAGCTCTAGACTTTCCCAGTGGTCCCTCAGCTGCTCTTGAAAACCTTCATTCCAGGCTTCATCTGCCAAGTGCTATATTTGCCATCAACAGCATGGATGCTCGACCTGGAATCTTCTGAGTTTTACTTAGGAATAGAATGAGGGGCTGGGGATGTGGCTCAAGCAGTAGCGCGCTCGCCTGGCATGCGTGCGGCCCGGGTTCGATCCTCAGCACCACATACAAAGATGTTATGTCTGCCAAAAAATAAAATATTAAAATTCTTTCTCTTTAAAAAAAATATAAAAGGGGCTTTTATATTTATATTTATAAAATATAAATCTTTGTCACTAAAGATTTAACCCAGGGACACTTCACTGTTAAGCTACATTCCTGGACTCTTTATTTTTTTGAGACAGGGCCTTTCTTAGTTGCTTAGGACCTCACTAAATTGCTGAGACTGGCCTTGAACTTATGATTCTCCTGTCTTAGCCTCCCAAACCACTGGGATTACAAGGTGCTCTACAGTGCCCAGCAAGGGTGAATTCTTGGCATTGCTGTGGTTATTGATGGGGTTTCCTTAAAGAGTTTATATTTTGGGGCTGGAGTATAGCTTGGTGGTAGAGCACTTGCTACATGCATGAGGCCCTGGGTTCAGTTCCCAGCACTGCAAAAAGAAAAAGGAAGAGTTTTGAAAGGAGGACTGTGGACTTCATGTAATGTTAATGGTGTCTGGGCTGAACTTCTTGTTGTTCTGGTAGGGAGCATCTATTCTCAGTGCAAAATGCAGGAGAGGATAATTTACCTCTGAGGCTTTCTTCCTGGAGAGGCGGCCATCAGCAGGCACCCAGGGGCCAGCTGCAAGGTGGAGCCCAGTGGTTTCCCCTTTGGGTTTCCTTCTACTTAGGAAAAATTAAGTAACAGCAGCACATCAGAAATGATGGTGGGCTTTCCTTGGAGTCTTGTGCTTTGTGTTAAGAACTGTCTTTGGGATCATGGGGATAATTTTTCTGGTTTCCATGGTAACCTAGATGGTAGGAGGAGATCTCCCTTGTGGCACCTTAGATGTTTGTTAAGGTGAGGTCTTGGAGGGGAGGAGGTGTAGCACCCCGAAGAGAACCTAGAGTTCTGGTTTTAAGATACAGATTGGGTCCTCCACAGACTCAAAGCTCAGTTGGCATAGGTGCTGAGGTCTGTGTGGCATATCTTGGCCTCCCAGCATGATACCTGTCTTCCCTTCCCATGGGTTAGCAGAGAACATTCTGTCTGACTGGGTGTTGTTGCGTCAAGTTGCAGAAGTCAGACCATTTTTCAGACAAAGCAGACAGAGGTGTTTCAGGTCTGTGCTGTTTCATTGTTTCTATTCCTGGTGTGTGTTTTCCTTCAGTGACAAGAAAAGGAAGTTGGAAACCAAACAAGAACCTAAACAGAACAAGAAGTTGAAGAAAAACAGAGATCTAAAGAACAAAAAAGATATGAAACTGAAGCGGAAGAAATAGTGAAAAAAAACTTGGGTCTCAGTGGCCGCCTGTGAGGAGGTACCTGATTTCCTGAGCCATCTCTGGGTGGCAGCCTGGACGATTAGAAACAATCGGGGCCCCCAACAAACACACAGGTGGGCTGTGATGAAGTCTGTAGGCCTGACTGTGCCCCTCTGTGGGCCCTACTGACTGAAGACCAAGTGACTCCCACACGCTTCTGCTTCCAGCGTGGTGGCTGGGTCGCCTCTGCACCACCAGAGGTGGGTCTCTCTCGGCCTCCTTCCTGGCCCTCCTTTCCCGTAGGTTTGGATTTCACTGTGGCCAGCTTCTCAGCCTGTTTCCCACATGTGGGAAAGCCATGCTGACTGTCCCTTCCCAGGCCCTTAAGTATACAACTTCCTGGTGATGTTCAGGAGGATGCTCAGTAGCTGCTGGGTCTCATCTTGGACTTGTCCCAGTGCCCTGAGGCCTGGAAAAATGGACTCTAGTGCACCCAGTGGCCGCTGTTGTGTGCACCAGGGTTTGTGGATGCTGTATCCTGTTCCACTCCTGGCTCAGGCCTGTTGCCCTCAGAGTCTCAGAAGAGCTCGAGCCCTTAATTTAAGTCATGTGTGACGTCCAAGTCCTCAAGACCGTCATATCATCATTTGGGAAAAAATGTTGGGCAAAGCCCTTTTGCTAGCAGGGTTGAGGGGAGGGATAGAGAATCTATTTTTAATAAATAACATTCTAGCAAGACTATTTGCCTGTGGATGCTTCTGAAATTCATGTCTCTGAATTTGCTTGTTACCCTGTTATTCCTGTGGATCTGGGCTGCTGGGTAGAATTTGGAGGGTTTGGTGTCGAGGCTAAGGATGGGCAGCATGCTCGAGCTCCCAGACCAGGAGCCTGTGGGAGAATCGGCAGGTACTGAGAATGGTGTTGTGGGGCCAGTAGTTGGCTAGCTGGGCCTCCTTTCCTTTCTAGCTCCTATTAGGTTTTTTGGTCCATCCTGTTTGGAGACAGAAATTATGTGGTGGCTTCACACGTACACGGTGTGTGTCTGGTTTAACGGTAACCCGAGTGATGGAGGCTTGTTGTCTAGGCCAAGTCCAACTTACCTTGCTCCACTCTGGATGTAACCTGGGCTGGTAGAAGTCTAATGGAAGGATGGTGGCTAGATGCGAGGGTATTAAATTCACGACATCTGGGACTTGTCCCAGTGGGGGAAGTGCAAGCTTCCATGCCTGTTCTTAGGACTGCTGTGACTCCTGTCTGGGACAATGGGGCCCTGGGTGAGGGGGCCTTTGTTTCCTGGATCTGCTGTTTCCTGCTGCAGACCTTGTGTTGGGACTTCAGGAAGGTCTGCTCAAAGGACACGGGAAGGTAACTTCATCTGTTTCTTCAGGTGGGTGCCTGAGCCTGCCTGCCTTAGCAAAGTGTGGCCCCAAAGCAGAGTGAGCGCTGGGTGGCCAGAGAGGATGCTTTAAATTACTGAGCACATCATCTGCCAGGTAAGGAGGCCCCTGTTGAGATTCTCCAGCCCTGCACCCTGTCCACCTGGCTCTGCTCTGGGGTACAAGGTGAGAGGCTTTGAGCCGGGTGCCCATAGATGCTGCCCTGACCCTCACGGAGACCTTGGGCACTTATGGTTCAAATGTTTACACCAAATTTGCATTGAAATTTTAATTTCCATTGTGAGATATGAAGAGGTGCTATTGTAAGAAAAGATTGAGTCAGGAAGGCTCTGTCCTGTGAAGGGACTATTATTAAAGTCATCCTGTCCCATGGATGAGCCCACTTGCTATGCGATGCCCTGTGCTTCCTCAGGCTCCCTATGGTCTCCACAGCAAGCAGGCCCTCATCAGATGTGGCCCCTCAGCCCGGACTTCTCAGCCTTCAGAACTGTAAGAGAAACTTACTAAATACCTGAAACTGGGTAGCTTATAAAGTATCAGCAACAGAAAGTGGACATGTGACCTCACTCTGTCTGCATTCCAGGTTCATGTGTCATGTGTGAGTGGTATGCTAGAAACCACCTCCCAGCTGAGGGGACCAGTCGCAGGAGTAGATGGGGAAGAGCTTAGCACTGTATAACTGGCACAGCGAGTGCCAATACCCAGATCTAACTAGGGGAGCTGCTCAGCCACGTGCCAGCTCTAAGACAAATGCCTGCTGTTTTCTAAGCAGTCCTGAGCTAGAAAAGTCTTGTGTGGACAGCAGAGCATGCCTGCACCTGGAGCTTTGGTTCAGGGTGATAGCTCCATGTCTTGAGACAAGGTGCCTAACTTCTGAAGTATCTTTATCCTCTGCACACAAAAAGGCAGTCAATGTCCACCAGCTGTGAGGAGTTTTGGCTCTTTTATTTGCAAAGGGAGTGTTCCTAAATGGGTCTCTGTGTTCTGCAGTCTCTTGAGTTCTCCTTCAAACCTGAAAGGACAAGCCTCCCCCAGACCTCACCATCTGGCCCCCAGACAGTGACATCTGTAAAGCTCTACTGTTGCGCAGGAGATGTCACTTGCAAAATGAATTCAGATAGGCCATCTCTGAATGCTGTCACGAGGACAGGGAAGAGGCTGAGAAGCCTGAACAAAGGATTCCTGAATAGCCTCCCCCACCCCCAAGCCAGGAGGGGCTTGTGCTAGCCGGCTTCCTGGCTTCCACAGCTCATCTGGTCTGCCAGTCCCAGGGGACTCAGGAGTGACCAGGAGACACAAAGGGGTTGCTGAGGCTGGGAGGTGGGGGAGGGACAGAAATAAGTGACTGTCACCTTGGAAAAATGTAGGCTCATTATCTGAGGCCTTTACAAACAGTAGGCAGCCTGGGGGCCTGGAGAGGGGCAGCTCCAAGGAAGGCCCTGGGGTCCAGGCTGGGGAGAGGGGATTCTGTAAACTACTGGTTAAAACGAGCAGTTTCTGCAAAGGGCTTGAAAGGCCTGGGCTTCCTGGTAGTGTTTTTGGCTGGCTCTGGAGAAAGCTATGACCACCCTGCCTCTGGCATGGGGAATGTCTGGTGGGGAAGGGTAACAGGCAGAGTGCAGAAAGGAAAGTGAAGTATTGGGGGGCGGGATGCAGAGGCCACCGCCTGGGAGGAAGGTGGTCTTAGTGTTGGCCACGGTGGCCCAGGGTCGACTCTGGCACCCCTGGTGTCTGGAGAGGGACCTCCTTAGGGGGTGAAGGCCCAGGCACCTGCTGTGCAAACGCTGCCCGCTCACTGCCATGCACTAGAGTGAACTCTGTACTGAACTCATGCTTTCAGCTGAGCTCCCTGGGGCTCCTGGGAGAAGTTACCGGCTCTCCCTGCAGCCTGTCTGGCTGCTAGTAGCCTGAAGCTGGCAGCTGAGAAATGTCCCACCATGATCCTGATCAGTGGCCCTGGATTATAGGGAATCCAGCTGCTGGGGTAAGTGAGCAGATACTTCCCAGCCCCTGAGAAGAAAGTCTTTTTTTGTTGTTTTAAACCTTTGCATTTCTGCTATACCTAGGCTCAGAGGGGCTTTTTAGCCTCCCTACCCCTCTTCTCCCAAGAGAACCACTGATCCACCTGGAACCAGAGCATAACTAGACCTTGCCTTTGAGGCTGGAAGTAGCCCTGCTTGGGATGGGAGGGTTGGACACAGACTCCTGAAGGGTAGCTACTCTAGATCACCGGTCTTGGGGAGGGACACCCTTTCCACCACCTTCTGGGCTTCTGTACAAGGTGGGTGCTGAGTGTGCTTCCTCCCTGTGGCCCCCAGATGGCGCTGTGTTCTACATGGTACAGAGCTCCCTCACCCAGCTAGATCCAGTGCCCAAGCTGGGCCTCAAACCACCCTGCTTGGCCCCCACCCCAGCAAAGCCAGGAAACAGGCCTTTCCCTGGACTGGGACTGACTACTGGAGGTTGTCGTTCCCCACTCTGAATCCTGGTGTGTGACTGAACCACAGCCACTCTGGGTCAGGTTCCCACTGACTGGAGGAGTTATTCTTTTAGACTAGGAACATTTAAAAAAATTTCTGCCTGGAATTTGCACCTAAAACTACAGCAGGGCCTAGAAAAACTTTGGTCCTGAGTCACTGGCTTACCATAGTCCTCCACTGTCTCTGCCGGGGTCTCTGTACTTGGACAGTCCACTGAGCAGAGTGTACAGGCAGCAGCCCCCACCCCAGGGGCAGGTATCTCTTATCAAGCCAGGCCTGCGTGGAGGTACCGTGTGGGCAGTTTGTGGATATCCACGGAGCTCCTTCATCCCTTCCATGGAAGGGCCTGGATCTGGAGGTCAGGAAAGCCCCCATACCTCTCCCATTCCTCAGTCTGGCTTCTGTCCAGTCTGATGCCACATCTGTGCTTAATAAATCATCTACCTCATTTTACAGGTGAGAATAACCAAGCCCTAGTGAGGGACAGATGAAGACAGAGGTTCCTGAGGTGAGTGTGGCCACAGCACTGCTTTGGAAGGGGATCCCCCCCCCCCTTCAAGGGAGAGACCAGGAACTCGGTTCTGGGTTTTTGAACTGGTCCTTCTGGCCCCTCCCAACCCCTGACAGAGCAACCCACTACCAGGAGCACTGAGGCCAAAGTTGCTGTTAATGAGTTTATTGTTAATAAAACCATGGTACATTTACAATAAGTGACATTAATATACAGTTACTGTATCATACAATATTACAGCAATAAAATAACACCTATTCCTTTGTACATCCAGCTCAAGCAGCTAGTTGAAAATATTTTCTAGGATTGCAAGCCCCAGGGGCTTTTCAGGGTGAGCAAGTGACATCTCCTGAAAATGCCTGGGGCTTTTGATGAATAAATAGTTTCTAAGGTGCAGCCAGGCTCCACCTAGAGCAAGCGGTCTTTGACGTTGCCCCAATGTCTGGTCCATAATAAATAGGCCAGTTTTTGGTGTGTCTCTACCCCAGGAGAGCCCAAAAACTGGGACTTGTGGGGGGACCCTGCTGAAGGGCCTCTTCTCCCAGCCCTTCCACCACTGCCCTGTCCTTTTTGCCCAAGAGCCACAGTGAGAAGGGCCCTCTCTCTAGTCCTGAGTTAAAGAAACCTTTC